AGCCTTGACATAGAAATGAATTAAATAATAAATATTAATTAAATAAAACAAACTTAAGACTACAACATTGGTCTTTTGATTTTTTACATTTCAAAAAACAAAACTTCAACAAAAGATCAGAAAAAATATGGAATAGCAACTGATCTTAAGACACCCGCGGAGGTAAATAGATCGGTGGTTAAGATCGGTTTCATATGTAAATATCGGCCGATCACCAATCACCCTAAATTAAGGAAATCGGGGCCGATCGATCGGCCGGCCGATTTATCGGTGCAGCCCTACAATAAATGCAGAAAACTTCAGACCTCTATCTACAACAGTTCCAGAGCTGTGGGGTTTGGAACTTTTGGTGTCGGATTGGAGCGGCACTCAATGGCTCCACCTGCTGGTGTCTGTGTTTCTCTCTAACACAAGACTGTAATGCGGTACCCGTTTGGGCTCGTTCCAAACCTTATTTCGTTGGCTACAAAGCCCAACACCCCTCCTGGTCTAAACCAATAACAGCAGAAAATTATAACGTGTAAAATCGCGCATCACTGTCTGACATGAAGTGAACCGGAAGTGAGATTTCGGGGACTATATCTCGCTCAAATCGCGTCATAAAAATATGCAGACAGTCGTGTTTTGTAGATACGTAGACGATGTAAAGAACCATACCAAACATCGTGGGCTAACAACTAGGGCTGTAAATAATAATTGATTTGTATCGATGCATCGATCCAACAGCCGACAATCCGATGCATCGATACGTCCGCAAGAGAATCGATTCATGTTTTTTTTTCCTCCGGTCTATTTTCATCCATTTGCTCCTGGGCGTAATTCTCCTCCCGTGCTGCGGTGGCGCTAAACCTATTTCGCCCTCCTACCTCGCTTCCTGGTTATACTCTTACAGCAGTGTGTTGCAGTGAGCTTGACACAGACATTTTTGATTTATGCTCAATATTAAAGCGTGGTCTGTGCTACACGCTGTGGGTCTAGATACGGCCGAGGCAGCGAGGAAGTGGGGGCGAGTTTAGTCCGACGACGGAGGGACATGAGGGCCAAAAAGAGCAGAGATCCAGGTAGAAAAAGGCTCCCAGCGTTCTCACGCACCTCGCTCTTCTAGCGGGTCAAACTTCACGAGTTGTTTTCCGCAATTTCGGTCATAAAAACAAAACAAGCCGGCCTCCTGTCTGCGGCACTGTCTGCGGTCAGCTACAATCTGGGAGAGGAGCAGCGGAGCATCTGTGGAGGGGGCGGAGTCTGGAGCCGAGGTATTGCATTGCACTCATTGCACTGATTCTGTGCAGTATTTTTTAAAGCAACTTTTCTACAACGATATTACAGCTTTCATTGATTTATTTCAAATTTGAAAGATTTTCTAGCCTGTAAGGTAAAAAAAAAAAAAATGAACCAATTAATCAAATCGAATCGTGGTGTATTCATGAGTATCGAAAATAATCAAATCGTTGGGTCAGGAACTTAATACTGAATCGAATCGCTATGATGGATGTGATTTACACCCCTACTAACAACCGAGAAGTAAATATAAGCAAGATGTTGAGAATAAGCTATGACCAGCTAACCTTTCTGATGTCAACAATCGGACGTTATGGCGATTTTCTCATCATGGAATATTATATCACTAATATGCTGGATTAAGAGTGGAGTATAGACAATTGAAGACTGGATTTATAAAATGGTTGCTTTGTTTACATTGTTTACATTTTGACATGCTGCCATATCTGTGTTATTTGTAGTTTGCTGCTCACTGTGTCCATAAAATGATCGAAGTGGTTGAATTATGGAGAATCTAAGCTTTCCAATGATGTCTAACTTGTTCATAGTGGAAAATATTTTACCGGTGGAATTTTATGCATGCTGAGTTCTTACCTCACTTAATGTCCACCGGTGGTTTTATTTAGGTTAGTAACTATATAGTTTTATTCATTTACAACACTAACAGTCTGGAGAGGCACATTCCTGGCTTTTCTAGTTGCTTTTTTGTCATTTAATAATTAATAAATATGTAAAAATATATGAAACCATTACCATCACAGTTTGACGAGATGTATTGCTTTTTATCTACGAGATTTGATTTAAGCTATCTGGCCACCTTTTCATCTACCCAGCATGCATTGCACGGCTGAAAAAAATGGCGACCTTCAGAATTTTTTGAAATTAGACCTCCTGGTTTCTCTTATCGAGCCTTCAGGTTTTTCTGAACTAAACCTTTTCTGTTTAAAGTATAGAAGCAGACAGATACTTGGGCAAGCTGTTTTCTCAGCCGATACTAGCATTTTTTTCTGATGTTAGCATAGATGCACGCACTCTGATACATTAGCGTGTTCAGCGCATAATTTGCCATCCACTGTGAATAAAGTGATCTGTTAATAACTCACTATGTTTGTGTTTTAACTGAGCTTTCCATAAAATGTGTCTTATTTTTTTTATCATTGTGCACAGACGTAAGCTTGCTGACGACTGCAGGTAGTTTTTTTTGGGACATGAACATTTAGCACGTGTTCGTGTCTGACATGCATGTGGAATCAAAAGGAAAGAAAACCTTGGGCCGTACCATCCCCTACGGGATGTACCATCCCATCTCCTAAAATCCATTTTAATTTGAAACGATTGCGAAATCATTTCTTTTAAAGAGGGACAATGCACTTAAGTAACCAAACATTCAAAGATACAGTAGCAGCCATTCAAAGTGGCCCTTCCCAGTCAAACGCCAGTCGAATGGCGGTCCACTTCCCTCCAGCAAAATCCCCTCCAACTTCCAGCCACTGGAGTGACCTCCTCATGCACTTTTTTTTAACTCTGCCTCCACCCTTTCACTGAATTACAGGGTCTGACCAGGAGATGATGCTTCTCCTTTTATCTTAATGTCCACAAATCATGACAGAAAGAATATTTTAGTACAAATATTGATGTTTAAAAAGGATTTGTATGGGACCAGCCCAGGGTGCTTTGAATGGCTACTGTTGGAGATCCCCTTTCAGGGTTTGATGTTAACCATCGGCCGATCACCCGGGGCAAGTAGTTTTTATTATCGGGAGAGTACAAATTTCATTTCATCTGCCCGCCAGGCAAGTGCAATGATCGCAAAAAAATAAATTATTTATCACTCAAAATTACTTTAAAATCACCGACATTCGATGAAAACGACCCAGAAGCGTTGTCGGCGCCATTTTTGTTGTTTTGTACACATTCTCGCGTGATTTGAAAAAGCCGGGTGGTTTTCCGCCAGATGGCGTGATTTTTGTCCACCTAGCTGTAATTTTGATGTAGTTACCAAAACAACAAACGGCTGCATTTATTTTGTCAGGGAAAACTAATCCTGAGTCAGTTAAAAGTCAGGGAATTCTGAAATGATGTCAGACTGTGGAAACCCTGAATAAAATATCTATGTATAATGATTCTCTAGAAAAGTCACATTATATTAATAGTATTATCTTCTATAAACATACCGTGACTCTAAAATAAAAGTTATTCATTTGTGACATTGACTTCTGTCTTGTTATTTATCTTAAGTTTTTAACCTGTCAAGTTTTTTTTTTTTTTAACATTACAATTTATATTTTTCCAAGCTCACAACAGTTTAAAGCAAAGTTTAGTTTGAAAAGAATGTGCAGGAAGGATTGAAAAGCATGTTAACACGGTAATGTAGGCTGGAGTTCATTATATGACGCATGCAGATACACACCAGGAAGCTGGAAACTTAAAAAATACTGAATTACAAAAAACATTAAAAAAATAAACATGTTTCATTGATATATATACAAAAACGAATATTAGGAACTATATTTATCAAACATTATACTGGGCAAGTAAAAATGGTTTCTGGGCAAATGAAATATGAAAGTCACTTGCCTGAAGGCATTAAGTCGGACCTGTTCCTGGTGCATGTTGGACTCCGACAGGGCTGCCCTCTGTCACCGGTCCTGTTCATAACTTTTATGGACAGGATTTCTAGGCGCAGCCAAGGACCGGAGGGGGTCTGGTTCGGGGACCAGCGGATCTCATCCCTGCTTTTTGCGGATGATGTAGTTCTGCTGGCTCCCTCCTGCCAAGACCTACAGCGTGCGCTGGGGCGGTTCGCAGCCGAGTGTGAAGCGGCCGGGATGAGAATCAGCTCCTCCAAGTCGGAGGCCATGGTTCTCGACCGGAAAAAGGTGGCTTGTCCCCTTCAGGTTGGAGGAGAGTCCCTGCCTCAAGTGGAGGAGTTCAAGTATCTTGGGGTCCTGTTCACGAGTGAGGGAAGAATGGAGCGGGAGATCGATAGACGGATCGGTGCGGCTGCTGCAACAATGCGGACACTGCACCGGTCTGTCGTGGTGAAGAGAGAGCTGAGCGAAAAGGCAAAGCTCTCAATTTACCGTTCGGTCTACGTTCCTACCCTCACCTATGGTCATGAAATTTGGATCATGACCGAAAGAACGAGATCCCGGATACAAGCGGCTGAAATGAGCTTCCTCCGCAGGGTGGCTGGCCTCTCCCTTAGAGATAGGGTGAGGAGCTCGGTCATTCGGGAGAGGCTCAGTGTAGAGCCGGTTCTCCACATCTAGAGGAGTCAGTTGAGGTGGCTCGGACATCTTCTTCGGATGCCCCCTGGACGCCTCCCTCGGGAGGTGTTCCAGGCACGTCCCACTGGGAGGAGGCCCAGAGGACGACCCAGGACACGCTGGAGAGACTACGTCTCTCGGCTGGCCTGGGAGCGCCTAGGGCTTCCCCCAGCAGAGCTGGAGGAGGTGTCTGCGGAGAGGGAAGTCTGGGAGTCTCTGCTTAGACTACTGCCCCCGCGACCCGGTTCCGGATAAAGCGGGAGACGATGAGTACGAGTACGAGTACTTGCCTGAAGGGTAAGTGGTAAAAATCCTTAATGTCAACCCCTGCCTTTTTTTAGTCAATGTTAACTCCAAACAGGATTGATGGAGGAGAAGCGTCATTATTCCCGCAGACAATCCTCCATCCATCCTTCCAGCTGATTGCTAAGCATCGTGATCTCGCTGGGTTACCTCTGGTATGACGGGCGCTCTGTGCCTGTGGCAGGTGATGAAGACAACGAACGGCCAGTCGTCTGGGTGCATGAGGATCCCCGCTGCTTGGGCGCAGGTAGGATGAAACGCCGTGGAGCAACGCCCGTGGGAGCACTGGACGCAGCAGCCTTTCACCTCCCTCTTTATCCGCTTCCTGCAGCAGGCGCACTTCTACCAGGGAGGGACAAACACAGGAGGGGTTTTATTAAAACAGACACACATCTAGAAACCTCACAGCTTCCCTTTGGCTACATTCACATTGCAGGCCTTAACGCTCAGTTCGGATTTTTTTGTGAAATCAGATATGTTTGCGTTGCCGTTCACATTTTCAAATTTATGCGACTTGTATGTGATCTCCTGTGTGAAATGCATTCATACAACGCCTGTAAATGTGTCCCCCCCCTTGCGTAGAACAGGACGCAATGACATCACAAGCTAGCGTGCTCTGTTTCAATCTTTTCCAATATGGTTAAAACGGCTGGTTATCCTCCTGCAGCAGTGTGTCGCAGTGAGCGTGTCGCAGATGTTTTGATTTTATTCCACGCCACAACGCCAGAGGGCTAATCAGGAACTAGCTGTGAGTCTAGATACGGCAGAGGCGGTGAGGAAGTGGGAGCAAGTTTGTGCGACAACGGAGGGAGATGAGGACGGAAAAGAGCGGAGATCCAGGTGGAAAAAGGTTCCCAGCGTTCTCGCGCACCTCGCTCTCCTGGCTGGTCAAACTTCACGAGTTGTTTTCCACAATTTCGGTCATAAAGACAAAATAAGCCGGCCTCCTGTCTGCGGTCACCTACAATTTGGGAGAGATGTAGTAGGGCTGGGCGGTATAGAAAAAAAGCTTATCAATAAAAAAAAATGCATATTGATCGATATCGATAATTATTGAAAAGATTTGAAACCATATTTTATGTGCAGCTCTGCCTGGACTTTTTATGATATTGCTAAATTATTTAATTTTAATAAAAAACACAAACACAGACTTCCAATTAAATCTTTATTTAACCAACTTTTTTAACCATAACAGAATTGTTTAAAAGGAAATAACTTGAGACCTGAGTTATGTTATTAAATACTGACAAAGAATAAACTAAAGTGACCAGAAAAGTGACCAAAATAAATATAACAAATAAATAAATGCCCCCCCCCGTTTCCTGCTTTAACCTGAGTTATTACTTTGAAGTTTCTGCCCCCTCAGCATTTTTATCTCAATTGTTAGAACTACGTAGGAAACTGCCCAGAACTGAAAATATATATATTTTCCCGAAGATTCCTCGGAGGCGATGCAGAGCCGCGCTCTGATTGGTTGGGAGGATGCAGTGACTAGCATAAACCTACATGATAGGCTACAATGAGAAGGAAGGAAAACAGCGTTTCATTTTTTATCGAGCTTTTATCGACTCTCTTTTTTTCTATTGCGCCACACGTCTATCGATCGATATATATCGTTATTGAATTATCGCCCCGCCCTAAGATGTAGCAGAGTGTCTGCAGAAGGGGCGGGAGCAAATCTGCGTTCACTGTAACACACACGAAGACGACCTGGTTTCTGAGTATAAATCAGCCTACAAAATTTTCTGGCATTTTTTATTGTCATTAATACTGTTGCACCGATACCGATGCCAGTATCGGGCGGGCCCCCGATCCTGCACTAAAATGGTGGTATCAGTATCGGTGAGTACCAACCAATATGGCACCGATACCATTTTGAGAGCCAAAAGTTTCTTCAACTATTGTCACCCATTCCAGGTAGGCAATAAAAAGTTCTACTGGATTCACTTTGTTTTAGTCTTTTTCCTGCTTCACAAAGCTTGACAAAGCCATGATGGCAATTATTTTACATCCAAGTAGTCTGCAGTTCTTCACACATGAACACACACCAATTTCAAACAGACAGTATCGGCCAATAACCTGACTCCGCCAGATGGATTTGCTCCGCATATCCATCTGGAAACCTTCCGTTAAAGTAATTTTGGGAAGGGGCGAAAATACTGGTTAGCTGATTGGCCTATGTTGGTGATAGACGGGCCAAATAAACCAATCAGATCAACGAAGCATATGACGTACTAACAGAGCGACGACGAAGAGGAGCCAATTGATAGATCAAACTCTTGCCGAAACCAGTCGGGAGAAGAGCAAAAACATCTTTTCCTCTGAGAAAAGCCTCCAGAGCAGTGTTTTGCTCTTCTTTCAGTGAAGAAATACTCTGTAATTCCCATAAAACTTGCTCGATAGCCACGCTAACGCTAGTTTCATCGGCTGAAGCCGCCATGTTCTTTAGACTGAACTGTCGCGCTTCTCGTTGCGTCACACCTCAACCCGCCTCAAAGCCAACGCTGATTGGACGTTCGTTTGGTGAACGGCTCCAAATTGTCTTTAATGGAGAGTCTCCAGACTGATCTGCGAGTGAAACCTTGAAAGCTCGCGAGATCAGGATGGTCTCACGAGGCTAATCGGCCAATACTGCACAGCCAGGTATCGGAGCCAAAAAATGGCATCGGTGCAACACTGGTCATTACATCGTCATAAGTAAAGAGCAATAAAATAAACTCTCTGCATTTAACCCATCCCCTTGGCGAGCAGTGGGCTGCCATTTTCGGCGTCCACGGTTAAGGGTCTTACTCATAGACCCAGATTGGCAGTCAGTGGGAGTTGGTTAAAGACTCACAACCTCAGAAATCCAAGCCCGCAACATAAATACCGGTCTCATAAACATAAATACTGCTCTCCGCATTATCATGCGCCATGGTTGTTGTTTTACTTATAATAGTGACCTTTGTCGTTTATTAATGACGTTCAGGTCGTTCAAACACAGGTCGCATTTGAAAAGATCAGATTCGTATCGGATTCAGGATCACAGAGCCAAGTGGCCTGGGTCGAATTGGAGAGAAATAAAAAAATAAAAAATCGGATCTGTGTTGTTCAGAGTGTCATAAAAAGATCAGATGCAGGATGCATATGAGCAAAAAATGGATATTGGAAACTTAAGGCTGCTGTGTGAACGTAGCCTTTAATGCACAGAACATTAATGTTGATTAAAAAAAAGGAAATAAAAAGGGTAAATATTGTTTTAAACCCAAATCATCCAGCTGTGTTCTGCTGTTTTCATTTCAGCCAACAAATGATGCAATAACAAACCTGGTATCAATATTCTGACATCCAGGTAATCTTAGAACAATAAATCAGTAATACTTGAAAAACTTTAACAAAACTTCTAAACATTTCTGAGCTTCTCTTTAAAAATCAGAAGCATTTTAGCCTCCGGATGATTTTACTCTTTAAATACAGCAACGTTTTTTAAACCAGGTTTGGTTCAGAAGTTGAAGCGGAGTGCATCTCTGCCCTGACAACAGGAAGTTAACTCACACTCGCCATATGCTTTATTAAACATAGAAACCGACACCAGGCTCCTACCAGTCTGAAACGTGGGATGGGGATGGCGGACAGGTCGATCGGGCTGCGCTTGGTGATGTTGACAAAACGCGCCTCCAGCACAGTGATTGCACACAGCACATGGACCCACCTGTGTGAAAGGCAAACAGAGCAGATTCTGGATATGAACCACAAATAACCTCTTCCAAATAAGGCTTCAATCGATGATGTCATGGAAACTATGATCCCAATGACCAAATTATTACTATCTGCAGGGTTTGCTGCGGCTCCATTTAAAGGTAGCCCTGTTTCCTCCCCTCGCTGTAGTACACCTTTAGAGAAGCATTTGGTGCAGATCACCTTCACTGATTTGCTCTCATGTTGATGTTTTAAAGTTTAAAACCTAAAAGAAAAAAACTAAATAAGTGCAGCAGAATCTATTATAGATTTAAATCCATCCACACCACAATGTAATGCTATGTTTACACAGAATGAGATTTCAGCAGCAAACAAGCCTCTGATGCATGTCCACGTTAAGGTCAGACGTCGGGTAAAGTGAGTCCAGATGCTTCTGCTGCTCCTGTGTTCAATGCCAGAGAGCAGCTTTGCAGTATTTGCTGTGATCAGTGGGTAAAAATTAGAAGTATAGATCAGCGCGCCTGCGAATTCACGAGTCTACGGAAACCGCGGTAGACCAACCAGATGAAAGTGCGCATTCAGCGTCTGCTCTGCCGATAATGCAAGCGTAGAAGAAGAAATTTGCTGTTTACCTGTGCAAAGAAAGAAACAACGAAAGAAAAATGTCTGAGGACTTCAGTGTTGAGGAAGAGCATGAGTTCTTTGCCGAGCTGAATGCGCACTTTAGCTGGTTTGGTCTGCCGCGGTTTCCGTAGACTCGTGAACGCGCTTTCAGGAAATCCTATACACTACTGTTTAGGCTCTAAAAACGTTCTAAATGACTTCGTTTCGAGTAAATTCTGGATGCTACCCACTCAGGACACTTGGAATACATTGGACGAGCAGTATGGAGGAATATTGACACGTTTTTTGTGGACTTTTATGGACCTTTATGGGCCGGTGAGTCAATCAGTTAATTTTGGACCCCGAATACAACGTTGCTGTTTTTTTTTAGCTTGACCTTTAGTCAAACTTTAACCCAAAGAGAAAAAAAAAAGGTTAACCACAAGTCATGTTTGTCTAGAAACTCTATAAGCTCACTAGAATTCTACCTGCTGGAGGTTTTATTTCTGTCATTCGGTTTTAAACCATCATCAGGTTACAAAGAGAGAAGGCTGTCAACTCAGATCAGGTGATCACCAAACCACCAGTTCTGATCATTAAGCAGATTTGCAATAAGTCAATGAAGATGAATGACTTGTGATGTTTTTTATTTAGTGATTTAAAAGTCCAGTCAGGTTTTTCGTAGCCTCTCCTACTTACTTGTCATTGTTGGCTCTCTGAAGGGCTCCACCTCTGAGCGAACACAGACAGCAATCCTAAAATGATAAACAGGAGATCAATACGCTGTAATGTGACGCCTTTAGCTCACCGCATGCCTGACTGCCTCACACAACTGATCGCACTGCTGAGACTCTGAAAACTTATACATGGAGTAACCTTGCAGTGCACTGCAAAAACAACCCAAAAAATAAGTCAAAATTTCTTAAATTAAATGTAATTACCCTTAATTTGAGCCGGTAAATACAATTATTTGCAAATGGAATGAATATATCTACTTCTAAAATAAGATGATTAGATATTATACACTTGAAATTAGACAATGCAGCTGTTTTTTCTTATTTTAAATGTAAATAATCTTGTTCCATTGTTAAAGTGTCTCGCTTAGCTCCTCAGTTAAAGAACAAATGCACTAATTTGAAGAAAAAAATTAATTTTTTTTGCAGAGTGACACTTCAATATGACATTTTAGACCATCTAAGAATAAAAACATTACATTAGATCCACCAAAACAGGTTCTCTGTGAAGAGACAACAAAAAATAAAAAAAGGATGTAAAGCAAAAACTGCTCTCAGCTCTTGAGCAACTCAGCGCTGCCCACTTGTGGAGAACAGCAGTCATTGACAGCTGAGTATTTTAAAGTCACAATTATTTTATTCATAGGCTCAGAAATAAAGCATTTAAGAAATATTTCTTTGAAACAAAAGTACAAAAATAAACTACTGTTGGTATGAACAAGGGCCTCAGTTTGTCTAAGCAGATGAACGCTGTGCAGTTTCCTATAGTTTGGACTGTTTTGTTTGGTCCAGAATTGGTTTCCAGTGTTTTCCCAACAATAAGAATGAGGATTTTGTTTGAACGTTGCCTAAACTGGACGTTCCTAGGTCTGTTTTTGGGTCAACAGACGCCTAAGCTTTGCAAAGGTCTCCTCTGTGGATGTTTTTGAAACAAAGCTAAAGACCCACATGTTTTCTCGTTATGTTTTGTATTTAACTACGGAGTGAATTTTGTTCTGTTGTTGCTGCAAGCAAACTGAAATGTGACAAAAATACAAAACAGAAATGATTGTATTGTTTACCCCTGCATTAATTACACATAATCTGTGGCATGTTTGTGTCTTTGATTTTTTTTTTAAAGGTTTAATAGAAGCAGGTAATTTTTTCCTTTCCAGCTGCATTTAGAACCAAACTTTAGAAAGACTAAATTCCTGAGTCACAGAGAATAAATATTCACAGTTTAAGTGAAGAATTCAAACAGAAAGGGTTTGTTTGTTTGTTTTGTTTTAAGCTGCTTTCAATATCAAGCATAATCTAATAGCTAATAGTAGAGATAAATAAAACCATGGGCTGGCTGATTAGTGACGTTTTGATTAATTCTGGTATCAACGGGACACATTTTCTGATTTTTAATCAGAAGGCTGAAGAGGTAAAGGATTTACTCCAGTGTATTATGGAGGACGCTGTCAGGACCTTTGCTGTTCGACATGTTTTTTTCTATTCAGCAACATTAGGAAAAACCATAATCTTCTATTTTTAATTCAAGCCATTATATGAAATTCGTTTTTTTGCTTTAAATGTTTACATTTATTTTATAATACTAGGCGTTCACATTGTAAAAAGGGACAAACTCTATCAAGTTGATCAAAATGACAGCATTATGTTAAAAGGCATTATATCGATGTTGATGGCGTTATATGCTGTGTCCCTCCATGATGTAATGAAGCCATCGGCTCCATTTTCTGAATTGTGCTTACTGACCTCCGTGATGGCGCTGGCCTCACAGCGAGCACACAGCCAGTCATCCAACTCTGCTTCTTCTCCAGAAACGCCATAGCAACCTGAGCGTGAGCAGAAGGAACCAGTCAGGCTATCATATCAACCTTAAAATATCAAGGCACCATTGTTCCATTACAAACCCTTAGAAATGATGAGCAGGATGGACAAAGGTAGGGATGTAAACAAATAATCAACTTATGATTGTCGAAAAACGTGTTTAGAAGGAAATTCTTTCAGTGTTGTAATGTTACCCGCCATCCACTAGAGGATGCTCTTGGTCATTCTTATGCTACGTTCAGACCGCAGCAGCAGAAGCAGCTACTTTATATGCAAAGTCAGTGGTCGACGTGCATCAAGGCGCAGCAGAAGGTCCTGGAGCGCGTCTAGAGCAGCTGAAGCAGCGCCGCAAAAGCTTCTGAGCATCTGACGTACGTGATGTGCTTTAGAAGCAGCATCTGCTGCAGTTGGAAAAATGTATTTTTGCAACTGCAGCAGCAGCATCACCTGATCAGAGAAGCTGATCTGGGAGCTGGCAGGGAGACAGAAACAGCACTGCTGATGCAGAGCGCTATGATCACCCCTCTGAAACAGATAATTAACGCCGAAATTCACTGTAACTTTAATGTAGAAACCCGGCAGCAAAATATGTTTGATTTTATCATTCTGGTGCCTGTAGTTTGGATGATGTACCGTATTTTCGCAACTATAAGGCGTATATAAACGTCTTTTTTTTTTTCTCAAAATGTGCGGCGCGCCCTATAGTGCGGTGCGCCCTATTTGTGTTGTTACTGCGGACGCTGTTGAGACCACCATGTGAACGTTAAAGGGGGAAGTGTGGGCGTGGATTGTGTATAAAGGAACAGGTATGTGCTTTATGCAGAACTTCTCATCTCCTCATTGAGGAGATGATGCATGAGTGGCTGAGGGAGGTGAATGTAAGGAGACCAGGTGGTTTTTTTCCACGCATCACCATCGCTGTTAATCTGTGACTCCATGCGTGCCCATCTCACAGCCGATGTGAAAAACATGGTGAAACAAATGAACGCTGTGCTCGCTGTTATTGCGGGAGGTCTGACAAAGGAACTTCAACCGCTCGACATCGGTGTGAACCGGCCGTTCAAAGTAATGCTACCTTCACGCCGGACGCAGCAAGAGCAGCAAAATCGCCTCTGCTGCTTAATTTTTGCTGCTTGTACCAGCAGAAGCAGCTTTGCTGCTCTGGCTGCGCAGTGCAAAAGTGTGTCTGACGCGCGTTGGGCGGAGCTACTCTATCCTTTCTCTGCCTTGCAGCTATATTTGCTGTGATCAGTAGGAAAAAAGTAGTTTTAATATGTTTTTAAGTGGGAAAATACACCTGAAAACTTAATCATTGCAGTCAGTTGATCCAGATTACCATCCCACCTTCTAATATTAGTTCTTTCAGAGCCCCTCAGACCCCCACATACCAGCGGTGCGCTGTCAGTAGGATACCATTCAAGAGCAGCCTCTGGCCGGGTCGCCTCCTGGTAGGTGCTGGTAGGTGTTTTTCATCTAAATAATCTGAACTGCAGGCACCAGGATAATAAAAGCGAACATATTCTGCCGGCAGATTTCTGCATTTTAAGTTAATTTATGCGTAAATAAACTGTTTCAGAGGAGTGATCATAGCGCTCTGTGTCTGTCTCACGGCCAGCTCCCAGGTTTGATTAATGCTTTGTAATAAATACATGAATAAAGCACAAACATACTCAGTTTTGCTCCCGCTCTATTTTTAAATACGCAGTAGAGGTATTTAAACGTAGTAGAGGACATGTACCAGTATATAAAACCTGCGCCCTATAGTCCGGTGCGCCTTATGGTCGTCAAAATACGGTATATGTTATTGTGAAGTAAAAATTGTGTTTAACTTATATCTTTCTTTTTAAGCAAGCAGTATGTTTGCTGAAGGTCACAAGGGTGTAAGATGGCCTTGCAGAGTTTCCTAACAGGGTAAACATCTGTGCATAAGCTGGGAACGGTCAGTTTGAAATAGGTGTAGTTTAAACAGTAACAAGCAAGAGCAATTAGTGGCGAAACAGTTACTATGAAACACCTCAAGAGGTCAGTTCTGTGGAACCATTGTGTTGTGCAAAAGAATTTCTGTTAATGTTTTGAAACATCTTTTACGCGTGAAAGTGACCTATATGTAGAGGGGAATGAGCCAGCCCAGTCAGAGCTCACTGAGATTCTGTGTAACTGTGATGTTCTCCACTTCCAAGTGTCTAAATTAAAAGGAAGCTTTGTTCCTGCAGTCTGCTTTGTCTCCATCTCCAATTTCTAACAGATTTTACATTTTCTTGTGCCCGTCTCCTTTCCCTTAGCTCCCTTCTAGTCTCTTCCATCCACATCATCTGATTACCCCAGTCTTTGTTGCATCTGCCATTTATCCTCTCCCTGTGCAGTTCTACAGTAATGGTTCCTTGTCGTTAGTTGCATCATCATCTCTTGCACCCCATGTGAGTTTTACCTGATGTTTTCTGTTTTTTTTTGGTTCTTTGTATTTTGCATTTTTGGATGTCTGCCTCAGTTTTTTTAATAAATCAACAAAACCTCATCTCTGCGCACAAATTGATCATTATCATCATTATCAGTGCCGTTCCTCATGGGACTAGTAGGCATCTATCATAAACATTCCTTTTAAACTGGAAAACTGTATTTTCTTTTTCTTACACAGAATCTAGACAGATTTCCGATATGTCTTCCCAGGCAGATGGGCTTACTTGTGTGAACTCGAACGCAGCACTGAGCACAGCTGATGAGGCGGCTTGTCCCGTCTTCGGCTACATGAGGATTGGACAGCTGGCCATCCCCGCCGTCATTGGTTCTGCCGGAGTGAGTGTTGAAACACATCTCTGGGACCAGCGGCCGGGACCACTGGCGGCCTCCTGGGCGGCTCACCAACATCAAACTGTTGTCATCACCGGACTCGGACTGTAAAAGAAAACAGAAAATGTACCTTCAGCAATTAGCTTCCAACACATGGATGTCAGACTTCTCACCTCGTGTGTTTTTGGAAAACCTTTGCTTACTGTAACATAATAAACACACATCACTTTAATAAATGATACAATACAATAAATATATGTCCTTAAACTTTGCTTTCATGCCAAGAGTTACAAATGAGAGCTCTAAAACATTGGACTCCACTGTATTGTTGCTGCAATAAAAGAACTTAAAGGAATAGTACACCCAAAACATGATTAGCCTTCATTTTCTACTCACCCCCATGCTGAACAACACTCTGGAGTACTTTTTTGATATCTCAAATGCATCTGGAGATCTGGGAGGCTTCTTGCTGTCTGCTGACATTCAAATAATGGAGGTCTATGGCACCCGAGGCAGAAAGGTCCATAAAAGTCCACAAAAAACGTGTCAATATTCCTCCATACTGCTCGTCCAATGTATTCCAAGTGTCCTGAGTGGGTAGCGTCCAGAATTTACTCAAAACGAAGTCATTTAGAATGTTTTTAGAGCATAAACAGTAGTGTATAGGATTTCCTAAAGGCTCCCGCCTGCGAGTTCACAACGCTACGGAAACCGGATGAAAGTGCGCATTCAGCTCGGCAAAGAACTCATGCTCTTCCTCAACACTGAAGTCCTCAGACATTTTTCTTTCGTTGTTTCTTTCTTTGCACAGGTAAACAGCACATTTCTTCTTCTACGCTTGCATTATCGGCAGAGCAGACGCTGAATGCGCACTTTCATCTGGTTTGGTCTGCCGCGGTTTCCGTAGACTCGTGATCTCGCTTTTAGGAAATCCTATACACTACTGTTTATGCACTAAAAACATTCTAAATGGCTTCGTTTCGAGTAAATTATGGATGCTACCCACTCAGGACACTTGGAATACATTGGACGAGCAGTATGGAGGAATATTGACAAGTTTTTTGTGGACTTTTATGGACCTTTCTGCCTCGGGCGCCATAGACCTCCATTATTTGAATGTCAGCAGACAGCAAGAAGCCTCCCAGATCTCCAGATGCATTTGAGATATCAAAAAAGTACTCCAGAGTGTTGTTCAGCATGGGGGTGAGTAGAAAATGAAGGCTAATCATGTTTTGGGTGTACTATTCCTTTAAGCTGTTTAAATTAGAGCTGAAACCGGTAATCGGATTTATCGAATATTGAAATAATAGTCAATTAAGTAATCGATTAATCGTTAACTGAAATGTAGAGTCTAAAACATGCCTTTAGCTGACAGAGCAACTGACTTAGAGCAGTAACTATACCAAAATTTGAAAAAAAAAATGTAAAGACATTTTATATTTAAGATAAACCTAGCGTTTTAACCACTGACTGGCGTTGCCTCGGGTCTGAACCCAGCAATGATGGACGGAAAATGGAAAATGAAAGTCACCGCGCGCTAGGGTTGTCACGATACTAAACTTTTCAACTCGATACCGATATTAAGGAAACTATTCAATACTAGATACCATTTTCGATACCACAAGGATAAAAACTCCAGATTTCAACGGAAATATTTCGATTAATAAAATAAAATACAATAAATAAATACAATAAACAATAAGAACAATATTTTGAGGTTGTTTGCTGTGCACAGTATTAATCAAGCTTGATAAAAAAACTTACAAAATTAGAATTAAGTGTTCCTTCTTTGGCTATGTTTTGCACACATAACAATGACACTAGCCAAACCAGTTAAGAAACAAAAATAATTCTCAGCAGCTGCACTTCTTACAAAAAAAGTCTGAAACTGAAAATTGCGTAGAATTATTCAATCACACAGTGTTCTGAAAGTGCATTGTCCTCTATTCTGCACTTTAGGTGAATGACTGCTTAGGTGCCACTGGTGGTGGCACTGCATCGATACTTTTGAAAATGAGTATTGTATCCGGATACGTTTCAGTATCGATACTTTTTTGAGTATCGATACTTTTGAAAACCCTACCGCGCGCACACACTGGGGTGGAACGGTTCACAAAATCCGTGGTTCGGTTCACGGTTTCCAGTTCGGCATATGTTGATTGTTAGCCTGACATGTTGGTCGTGTTGCTGTTAGCATAAACAAATGCTTGCACACTGTTTTTATAATGACATAGAGTATCGAATATTTTACTTAGTATCGGTATCGAGTTGAAAAGTTTAGTATCGCGACAACCCTAGTCTGTTGTATAAAACCTTGAAAACAACGCTATTTCTGACATTTTGGATTGAAAAAGCTTCCTGAAGAGGAAGAGAAACGTCTTCAAACTTGGAAACAAAGTCCAGTGGATAGTTTTTTTTTGTTTTTTGAATGACTATGACCTGGATGACCGAGAATCTCCACCAGCACTCTGAGATGATGGTAGTTTTATGAGGCACAAGCAGCCTGCAGCTTAGAAAGTGTGCTGATATATATTAGGAGTGGAACGGTTCACAAAATCCACGGTTCGGTTCACGGTTTCATGGTCACGGTTTTCGGTTCGGTATATGTTGATTGTTAGCCTGACATGTTGGTCATGTTGCTGTTAGCATAAACAAGACGTGTTGCACAATGCTTTCACACTGTTGCACTTTTATCCACAACTTTCTTTCCGCCGTCATCGTAGGTCACTCTAAATGCAAAGTGGTCCCATACAGCAGACCAATAAAGTGCTGCTGGCGCGTCTTCCAACTCCTGTTCTTTCCCACTCGCCATACCCTCACAATTCTCCACAACAACTGATTTTTTTCTGCTACACCCGGCTACGCTGCTTCGCTTCTTCTTCTTCTTGTTTACTACTGGTGGTTGGCTTTGGTCGCAGTACCGCCACCTTCTGCTCTGGAGTGTAAACGCTTCGCCTATGAGAAAAAGGAGCAGCGCATGAACCGAACGCAACACACGCGAACCGAACCGAGACAGTCGAACCGAACGTCTCGGACGGTTTTCATAAACGGTTCCATCCCTAGCACACACCCATACACACAGTAAACCCCTCTGAAATATTAAGTGTGCACCCTCAACACACCAGCAGGTAACCAGGCAGCGTTTATGTGTTTTGTTGATGAAACGCGACTGTTAGGCTTAGCGCGACGGTACTCACAAGCATAGCTTTATGAGAAAGTGTGAGTACGCAAAGTCAGTAAAGTTGCTTTCAGTGACCGGGTGGATTCGTCACAATGCAACAATTTCTTGCAGTTTTTTTTAAATAATTAGCTAATGCTGCGTTCACAATGAACACGCCTTAAGCAGCAAATGCAGACAGTTTACATGCAAAGTCTATAGTTGAAGAGCATCAAGGTGCGTCAGAGGGTCCAGCAGTTCAGAGCATCTTGAGCATTTAAGCATCTGATGCTGGAAAAATCTGAACTTTTGCTCTTCGTCACGCTACGTTAACCACTCTGAGAGGCTCTGATATGTGAAATCGGGCACACACTGCGATTTTTTTCAATCGTTGTAGATACAGCTCAAACAGCTGTTTGCAGGATGAGCCGTTAGCCTCCAGACCTGTGACTGCAGCACCGATAAACAGTTTTTCTTTCTTTGGTTATAAAAAAAAAGTTAATAAATTTGTTGCTCACTGTGACAGATTTTTTCTTCTTTAAAGTCAAATGTTTTTATTGTAATCAAAAAGTGTTACTCTTTTCTGATAATTTCACTTACAATGATATTTAGGATAAAAGAACAGGAAGACATTCTTCCCTAAACCAATGCTGGTCTCACCTGGTGGTACGTGTAGAAGAGCAGACAAATGGAGCAGTAAGGCGGCCGCTGACCCATGGTTTTGTTGTATTCCCACTCTGCCTGCGGGTTGTAAGGCCGACTCTGCCACAAAGCGGTGAGAGGCTTTGCCCACTCCTCTTTCTCCTCCTGTTCCACTTCCACACTGACATCCTGATCTAGAGGCATCGGGATGGACAGAAATGAGCGAGTTCAAAACTAAAGAAACTTAAAGAAAAAACATGAATGAAAAGCTGATAAAAACAACAACTAAAGAAAAACATGAACCAACCATCATCGCTGCACGCCTCTCTGATCAGAGGGTGGTGGCGAGGCAGTCTGCACAGCTGAGCTTCCTGCTCCTGCTTCTTTGAAACAGACTTGCAGTAAGACTGCTCCTCTGCCACCTGCTGGAGAAAAAGGTGAACAGCAGGACATGACTTTAAAATCAACATCATGTCCTTCCTTTAGACAGAATACTGGAGCTTATCTTGCATTGGTCCCATTGGGGCCTCTGTACTGGTGTCCATCCATTTCCACATAAAAATTAACCCTTATATGTCAGAAATTAATTAAAAAATATGGGTCACATTAACTACTTACATGATAAGTTGGAGAAATCACATTGAACTGAATCTGCTCTTGCTGCTGTGCAGGACTGGTGTCTTTCAGCACGATAATGGCGCTATCCGCTAGCGGACACTCGAAACTCTGCGGTTTAAACAGTAGATTCAGTAGATTTACAGGATCAAACGAGGCAGAGAGCTGCTTTCCGTAAAAAAATACGCCGTTTAAAAGCGGTTTCTGCCAATCGAATGTTATTCAGATTATTTTATTAGTAGGATTAGTATCAGAGAAAGAGTGTTATATTAAAGGTCATGCGATTAGAGTTCACCAGTACAGAGACACCAGAGGGCGCTTTGGTTCAACCAACAGGATTAAATCCATACATGATGATTACATTTACAACTATTATAGATGTTACTATCAGTTAGTAGACATAGCAGACTTCATGCTGGGCTTAAAGCTATTCGTCTACCCGATTCAGCACTGTCCCCTCAAACATATGTTCTATGCAGAGCTACAAGCTCTGCCTCCAGAGTAGAACAAAAACCAAATGTTCAAGTTCAGATTTATGCAACCAATCTAAGTACGATCTCTAGCAAATTTTAGGGATGCACGATATTGGGATTTTGGCCGATATCCGATATTTTAAAACTCATGTAGCCGATAACCGATATCGATACCGATGTTAAAAATATTTAGTCATTGAAAATAGCAGTTTTGTTATCCATTTCTGACACTTAGAAAAATAATATACTCATATATTTTTATATGCTGATATCAAATTGATTTTTAAAAACGCGGTATCGATCTACTTTACTTTCAAAATCTCGTTAAATTTCCTCGTTCTGTTACAAATTCTTGTGAGATTTTGTTGTAAAATAGATCGATACCGCGTCAATATATCAACATATAAAAATATGGCAACATTTTGTGAATTTTTGGGGGATTTCGTAGCATAACGATGACATATAGCAATATTTCATTAGTAAAAGAGATTGATACGGTGTTTTTAAATGGCAATATATCAGCATATGGAGATATTGGGATATTTATATGTATCAATATTTTTTCTCTCGTCTTTAGAAGTTTTTAAGTCTGTAAAAAAGAAGTTTTTGAGGAAGAAGAAGAAGTACTTTTTTTTTTTTTAGACTTTAGAAACTCAGAAGCTGATCAAATATCGGGTTAAATATCGGTGGGGTGGCCGATGTCCCATATTCAGTTTTAAGGCCGATACCGATAGGGGGCCGATTATATCGTGCATCCCTAGCAAATTTAGTTAAATAAAGCTGGTTTCCTTAAAAGATGTGTTTTCTCCGTGTCTCTTTAATGTTAAATTGGGTTTAACTCGACCAAATTCCTCCAACCTGGTGTTAGCTTGCTTTATCTGTTCTAAATCTGCTATCGAGGAGTTTAATATATCGTTTTAACTATCATGTGTTTTCCCACACATGATAGTTAAAATAACACTATCGCAGCCATAAGTACAAATTCGCATGACGAATATGAGCCATCTGCATCTATTTCACTGAGTTTTATTTTTCCCCAGATACTTTGAATGCATTTCACACCGAGGACGTAGAACAAAAGGCGCTAATTTGAAAGAAAATCAATAATCGTTTTGTATCGATGCATCGATCCAACAGCCGACGATCCGATGCATCGATACGTCCGCAAGAGAATCGATTCATGTTTTTTTTCCCCTCCGGTTTATTTTTATCCATTTGCTCCTGGGCGTAATTCTCCCTCCCGTGCTGCGGTGGCGCTAAACCTATTTTGCCCTCCAACCTCGCTTCCTGGTTATACTCTTACAGCAGTGTGTCGCAGTGAGCTTGATGCAGACATTTTTGATTTATGCTCAATATTGAAGCGTGGTCTGCGCTACACGCTGTGGGTATAGATACGGCCGAGGCGGCGAGGAAGTGGGGGCGAGTTTAGTCCGACGACGGAGGGACATGAGGGCCAAAAAGAGCGGAGATCCAGGTGGGAAAAGGCTCCCAGCTTTCTCGCGCACCTCGCTCTTCTAGAGGGTCAAACTTCACGAGTTGTTTTCCGCAATTTAGGTCATAAAAACAAAACAAGCCGGCCTCCTGTCTGCGGCACTGTCTGCGGTCAGCTACAATTTGGGAGAGGAGCAGCGGAGCGTCTGTGGAGGGGGCGGGACGTCTGGAGCCAAGGTATTGATTTGGACTCATTGCACTGATTTTCTGCACTATTTTTTGATGCAACTTTTCTACTTCTGTTATTTGCTGTTGTTTCTAAAAAAAAAAAAAAAAAGGCATAACAATATTACAGCTTTCATTGATTTATTTCAAACTTGAAACTTTGTTTAGCCTGTAGGGTCTTAAAAAAAAAAAAAAATTCATTAATTAATCGAATCGCATCGTGGTTTATTCTTGAGTATCGAAAATAATCGAATCGTTGGGTCAGGAAATCCATACTGAAATCGAATCGCCATGATGGATGTGATTTACACCCCTAACATTAAGCCATCCGCATCTATTTCACTGAGAGTTTTAGTTTCCCCCACACACTTTGAATGCATCACAAACCCGTCCTCCAAACAGGATTATTTTCTTCGCAGTACGCATGCACACTACAGCAACCGGCAAACAAAATATGGTGACAGCAGGTGTTTCAGCTGAGCGATACACGGCAGTGGATTGGATTTCACATCGAGGACGTCGAACAAAAGGCGCTAATTTGTAAAACGTGCCGTAAAAACCATTGCTGCAAAAGGTAGGAGTAAGAATTTATTCCACCAACTAAAAAAACATCTGCATGTCATCGTTTCCCCGCACACCAATTAAAACGTTAAATAAGTAATCAGTGAAGCCGATGGCGTTTTCCTCGTCGTTTAAAAAAGCGATGCCATATGAGAGAAAAAGGAAGAGATGGAGGGAAATCACAGACGCTATTTATGATGTTATTTCAATGTTTTGCGGTTGAGGTTTTGCAGGCGTTCTCTAAACTTGGCAATGTTGTATGCTTATTTAAAATCTCCAACATGTAAAGAACAACGCTAATAAATTGGAGATGCTCCCATAATGCCCTAATTTTTGGACAGTAATTCCAATTTTGTTTTTGTAATTTGAGGTCAATTTCTTTTTTCATTCAGCATTTTTTTTAAACAATGTAGAAAAAGAGCACTTTTTTATTTTCCATTTTATTTAGTATCGTGTTTTTGCCTTATTTCCTAAAGACATCATGTGGCAGAAAAGCTTCGAGCTGGTTAAAATAAATGGTTTTAAATTTGAAACAAAGGGTTTGAATGAGTATATCAGTGAAATATTATGCACTCTATTGTTTTTAAAGGTAATTTAAACACATTGTGATATATATCATGTGTTGCGATATAGCCCAAATATATCAGGATATTAGATTTTCTTCATATCGCCCAGCCCTACTTCACCCCTCAGCTCAGATAACGCAGAACTTGTGCAGGAGATTTTCTTTAAACCGGCCGGATTCCTTTGCTTTTCCCAACAGGACAACTGACCAAAACTTTGGGCTCTGTCTAATTTCTGGGTCAAAGCAAAGAAACCACAAAATTAAAACGGGCTTTACTGTTTCAGACAATAAAAAGGGGCAAATATCTAGCTGTTCCTCGTTGGCTTGTCAGGGACACCGAGAAGTGAGGCAAAGAAAGAATTAATTAAAAAAGTTAATAAGAGAAGATGTTAAATATAGACCTGAGATTAGGTTAGCAAGGCACAGTCTTACAAAAGAAATCCTTTAAAAAGTTTCATATAAGGTTTTCTGGGAGCATGAAACCTTTTTTCAGCGGAGGAAACACAGACCTTCCGCTTATTGACTCTGGAAGCCTCCATCCTGCCTTTGCTGAGGTCATGGGTTGGTGTTTGGGTCGGTGGGATGGTGGATTTGTTAAAGACATCAACTTCAACTTTCTTGGTCATAACTGGGCCTTGGATCAGCTCTAGTTTCTCAGGCTTGGCGTCTTTGTGTTCCAGCAGCAGTGGCCTGATCGCCTCTGGCTGAGCAGGTCCCTCTGCTGTTTGAAGAGCCCGAGCTTGAGGCTTGGCGTCCACCATCTCATGGCTGCCTGTCGGGGATAAGGCCTGAACCGGGGGTGTCGGTTTGGCTCTGAGGATGGCGGGGCTGGTGCTCCCTGGCGTAGCTGTGGACGTGCAGCTGCGTGCGACGATCCTGCTGCTTTTCCAGCGTGTAGCTTTGCACCTGAAGCGTGTCCTTCGGACTCAGAGTCCTGTGGAAGAGCAGGCTGGCCACGCCCATACTGCGCCCATGTTGGGCGGATGTTTCGGACCACTTCTGCTCCGCGGAAACAGACAGATGTCCGTTTCTGGACCTTGAATGAGAAGATATGGCGGGTGCTCGAGTCTTGGTGTAATGAGGAGGACGGCCTCCGTCACCGTTGCTCTGACTCACACCCCTGTGAAACGGATCGATCAGAGTAAGCTTTGTTGGTGTGACAACCAACTTTGGCGGCCCTGTAAACAAAACAATAAATCGCTTAATATTTGAAAACATTCCTTCCTTACAGAGCCAATAGGACGGTGACAGCTTACCAAAAACTTCACCTTTGTTTCTTTTGCCCTCGTGTACAGCAGTTCGGTGAGGGATGAGGCTGAGTCTGGGCCTCTTCCCATACTGCGCTGTGTCATCCTCATCTTTGGGGACAACCTCATCGGGCAGCTCCAAACACACACAGTGTCGTTTGGCTTCTATTCGCTGTGTGCTGCAGAATCAGCAAGAAGAAAGAGAGCGGAGAAATGTTACCAACATACTTCCAATGCTGTCGATATGGAACGACTTAGCTGCAGTTTGCTTGGAAACGTTTCCATGTTTACGTAGGATAATAAATAAAACGTTTTCAACTGAAATTAGATGCTTTATGTATTCAATAACATACAACAAAGCAGTTTTCCAACTGAAAATAGCTCGTTAGACCAGGTTTTTGTTTAGTAACTCAGTTACTGCACGATTAAAGGTACTAGTTGTTAGTCTAAAGCCAGGCTCAGACTGGGAACGATTTTTGGCCTTGGCATTTTTTTCATCTACACCGCCTAACTTGGCGGGACTTTTTGCAATTCGCAATTTATTCCAGGTTCTACTTTAATCCACAAGGTTTAAAACACCGGGAAAGCACTGCTAGCAAGCGATGGATTATGTTTGCATTGCTCTATATAGAGCTAAAAGTTTTGCCTTCAGATTAGAACAAAAACCAAACGTTAAAGTTCAGATTTATGCAACCAATCTAAGTACAATCTGTAGCAAATTTAATCAAATACAGCCGGTTTCCTTAAAGGACGCATTTTCTCTGTGGCCCTTTAATGTTAAATTGGGTTTAATTCGACCCAATTCCTCCACCCTCCACCCAATAGAATGATTAGCCTTTAGGTGCAAAACACCATCATGCACTGCAACATATTTTTGCAAAATATTCAACATAAAATTGCCAAATATTACCCCATTTACACTACCCTTGAAAAACCGTGCCGAGACCGGTCCGAGCTCAGTAACTGAGATAACTTATCGTGTGTAAATGGAAACTGAACTGAACCGAGCTAGACACAACCGGACTGAGATAACTGCAGACCAGTTCCAGAGGTGGGCTCGGCTCGGTTTTTCCCTGGCTCGGTTCTCTGATAACAAGAGCGCATGAGCAGAACGCGTCATCTCCGCCTGGCTGCACATCGCGATTCACACTCCACTCCACTAGTTGGCGGTAATGCCCCTCCGGAAGTTGCTTGCCAACCAACACAAAACAGAAGAAGAAGAACAACTATAAACAACAATCAAGTCAATCCACGAAAGGTTGCCGTCCTCGAATGACCCTCCGCAAACACTGAAGTACAGCAATAACAATCAAGCATAACTTTCTGAATGTGACGGGCGCCGCCATTTTGATTTGCTTGATTCCCTCCGTCTTCTTGTGTTTTATGGTGTTTCGCAAACAACTTTTGGTGCATTACCACCATCAACTGCTTGATTCCCTCCTTCTTTGTCTTCTTCTTCTTGTGTTTTATGGCGGTTGGCATACAACTTTTGGTGCATTACTGCCACCAACTGCTTGATTTCCTCCCTCAATACCGGCAGTTATACCGCAGATCGTCACTAGGAGGCGAGGAGGCGAGGACCCGAGATAGCGTGATTTGTAAACGGTCGTCAGAACCGAGCTCGGCCTGGTTAACTGATCCGAGCTCTGACCGGTCTCAGCATGGATCGGTTTTTCAAGGGTAGTGTAAATGGGGTATATGAGAGGAACATTATAGTTGTTTTTTTTTAAAGAAAGCATTTTAGTTTTATTATAATTTAGTTTGTTGCAAAAATTTTACAGTTTGAAGAAATAGAAAATTACACCATTTTCCAACCGTCACAAGGCCGTGCATGACAAGGAAGTGCTATATATACTGCATGCATCAATTAGATAGTCAACATTGGATCACTTCTTGGAGCCCTCGAGTTATTTACTGTCACAGGTAGGAGCTTCGGCCTGAAAATAATTGTTGGGGTCGATATAATTTAAAAAGGGCCGGCCCTCGCACACTGAAATGAGGTCCAGCCCACTGGGCAAATGCCTGGTATCATAGATTACCAGTCAGAGCCTGTCTAAAGCCCCTTTCCCACTGAAAATAGCACGTTAACACGAGTCAACCCGCTAACAATCGGTATTTGGCTCCTTTCCCACTGACAAAAAAAACTGGATCTAACCCCTCGCTGGCTGCTGCATGTCTAGTGACATCATCAAGCTTGGTTAGCGTTGATGATGTCACCAGTGCTAAAGAAATCAAGGAAGTAAATAACAGATAATAGTGTTCTTTGATAACAGTGTTATTTGTGTTTTGCTCTATTATCTGTCTGAATCCCTCTCTGTTAGAGTTACAATTATAAAATTAATGGGTGTGCATATGAAACATTGAAGAAATAAGATGCTACATTTCTGTCCTGTGATTCAATCAGGAGGGTCATAAACTGTGCAGAGGCTGACGTCGCAAATCCCTGTCTGTGTTTGATCATTTCGTCCTCTTAAACTCACATTTCTCTGGATTTAAACCCAACACTCTCACCAGAGCTGCTCCACGGCTTCGGTGCCCATTGTAACAATTTCTCGCATAGATTTTTTTTCTCTAATTACCTAATGCTGCGTTCACAATGAACACGCCTTGAGCAGCAGAAGCAGCCAGTTTACGTGCAGTCTATGGTTGAAGCACATCAAGGCGCAACAAAAGTTCCAGCAGCACATTTCACGCCGCTTGCGCAGAGCATCTTGAAGCATCTCCAGCAGAGGGCGTCACGAGCATTTAAGTATCTGATGCTCAGAAAACACGAGAGGATTTTAAGACGGGTCGCTTGCTGCACAAAGCTAATATAACTTGTTTACAGAGTAAAATCCAATAAAGATAAAAAAAAAAAAAAAAAAACGGCAAAGTAATTATTTAAATGGAAACATTTGTGACATAATTACAAACAAACTAAAAAACTGTGGCTCATGTATCTTTTGGATATTTTTCTAAATGGGAAAATTTGTATTTTTAACATAATTTTCGGCAGATTTCAACAACCAACTGAAAATGTATTTATTCCTTTGTATACCTTATTTTTAGACATAAAATCTAAAATGACAAATTTGCTGTGGTACATTTTTATTGAATATAAGTTATCTTTTCATTCATTCTTTTTAAATAAAGGGTCTTATAATGTTTGTGGCTCTAAAAGCTATTTGTTAGCTGGACTGAAATCAAAAACGACTCTTTGGATTGTAAAGGTTGGTACAGATGAACGTACCTTTTCCTCTCGCCATCCTCACCGCCAACCTCGCCCAGAAACTCCTTGGCCTCTGGGGTGGGCTGGGAATGGTCGATGGGGGTTGTGTCTCTCCCCGCCAGCCACTGCTCATAGCGATCCGGCTGGTACTTCCGGACGAAAACATCCATTGAAATCTTCACCATATCTTTACGACACGAGCACTGAGGGGAAGAAAAGAAAAAGGTTAAAACGGCTAAATTAGGCTCATCAATAAAAATATGGAACCGTTATCAGGCCCTCACCAAAACCGCTTGCTTGCCGTACTCGATCCACCTCTCTGTAGCAAAGTTGGTGGACTCGGCGCAGTTGAAACCGTGGTTGAAACCGGCATGGTAGGCGTAGGGGAAAGTGATCATGAACTCGCCAGCTTCCTGAGTGATCTATAGATACATTGATAAACTAATCAGCAACTACTTCAGCTTCCAGGTAGTTCTACGGAATTAACTCAGTTTAAAAATAGGCAGGTGTTACCTTTTCAAATGGGATGCCATATTTCTTTAGAATCGAAGGAGAAATTAGAGTCATTTTGTGCCTTAAGAAGGCTTCACAATTTTGGGAGCTACCTGGAAAAAAACCTAAGAAAAGAAATAAATGATTAGAGGACTACCTTTAAAAGATGCCTGACTTGTCAGTGATCTGTTCCTAACAGAGCACTTCGCTCTCAATCTGCAGGTTTACTAGTGGTTTCTAGAATTTCTAAAAGTAGAATGGGAGGCAGATCTTTTAGTTCTCAGGCTCCTCTCCTGTGGAACCAACTACCAGTTTTAGTCCGTGAGGCAGACACCCTGTCTACTTTTAAGGCCAGGCTTAAAACTTTCCTTTTTGATAAAGCTTCTAGTTAGAGTGGCTCAGGTTATCCTGAGCTATCTCTATAGTTCTGCTGCTATAGGCTTAGACTGCTGGAGGACATAGGTGTTGTGGATTTAGCTGAAACATCCAATCTTGTTGAAAAAGACGACTGTAGATTCGATTTTCTTATATATATAACTTTAATTCTGAACTGCGGCAACTTCCAGCATTTACATAGAGCTACATCTTCTAGAAAAATCACTGACTTCTTCGCTGGTCAGGAATCACAAACTAAACAACCATGGCTGACATATGGCCCCTACGCCATCTAGTGGAGAAACACTTAAATGACCAAACATTACAATCTTAACCCAAATTGTATTTAGTTTTCATTCTATTTAGTAAACATATAAACAATATGACTTAACCATATTATAACAATATTCAACATCCTCCCCCCAAGAAGACAGTTCAATTGTTAACTTCAAAAGGATATAATAGCTGAACTGGTCTTCTTAACATCGTCCCTGTTGGGGTGCGCACCGCGCAGGATCTGACCAGCCCATCTCTTCCTGGGAACACTTCGGTGATAAGTCCTATTTTCCAGGTTAGACGTGGCATTTTGTCATCTCCAATGAGAACCAAGTCTCCAGTTTTAAGCGACGTGGGATTTTGGGTCTTGCAAGTGTGAGCCGATCTGAGATCCAACAAATACTCCCTCCTCCACCTGTTCCAGAATTCTTCCATCAGTCTGTGACGGTATTTCCATCTTCTGGTCAGCTGCTCTTGGTTTGCATTTGTTATCTGACCTGTTGTGCAGAAAGGCCTTGGAGGTAAAGAACTGAGTCTCTTTCCAATCAAAAAATGCGCTGGAGACAGAGGTTCAGGTTCCTTTAAATCATTATACACAAAGGTGAGTGGTCTTGAGTTGATAGTGGCTTCGATTTCTGACAGTAAAGATGTTAACTCTTCAAACCCTAGAGATGCTCTTCCCATTACTCTTTTGAGGCATCCCTTCACAGAGCGCACTAATCGTTCCCAAAATCCACCCCACCAAGCTGCTCTCTCTGCAATGAATTTCCACTTAATTCCCTTTTCAGAAGCATATTCCAACAGCTCTGGCTCTTTTGTGGCCTTCCACAGCTCCTTTAGTTCTTTTTCTGCTTTCTTGAATGTTTGAGCATTGTCCGAGTAGATTATTCTGCAGAATCCTCTCCGTGAAACAAACCTTTTCAGTGCTAAGAGGAAACCTTCTGTTGTTAGGCTTGATACTAGTTCGAGATGCACTGCACGTGTCACGGCACATGTGAAAAGTGCCACATACGCCTTTTCTATGTTACCCTTGGACTTCACATACAGTGGACCTGCGAAATCTACACCAGTTATTTCAAATGGTGGCGCTTCTGTAATTCTGTCTCTGGGTAGTGGTGCAGTTGTTTGTTTCATTGCCTTCACATTAAATCTTTTGCAGATGGTACAGTCTGAAATGCATTTTTTGACTAACTGTCTGGCGCGTAGGATCCAATATTTTTCTCTTAAATGAACAAGAGTGTCTCTCACGCCTGAATGCATTACATCCGCGTGACTGTACTTGATCAGAAGTTGGCAAAATCTGTGACTTGAGGGTAACAACCACGGGTGCTGCTCAGTAAAACTCAAATCTGACTGATGTAGCCTTCCCTCTACACAGATTAAACCATTTTCATCGAGGAAGGGTTTAAACTCTCTAATCTTAGAATCTTTGTGCACAGCCTTTCCAGCTTTTAGCTCTTTTATTTCCCTTTCAAAACTGTGGATTTGTGCTTCACGTATCCATACCTTTTCAGCTTCTGACATTTCCTCTGCTGTTATTTCTCCCACCTTCCTTTGCTTTGATCGACAGTTGTGAACAAACCTGTTAATCCATGCTGTAACTCTCAGTACCCTTTGCAGCTTGCTGTAATTTTCCAACTGCAACAATGGCTCAGTCTGCAGCCTATCGGTGTTACTGAACTGTACGATGACTTGACTTGCCTTGAGCTCTGCTTTGACCTCTTCCTCTGAGAACACTTCTGGTGTTGCCTCTGAAGGTGGTGTTCCAAGTATCTTGTCTCTCAAAAATAGTGGGCCCGACCACCAAAGCTCTTCCTCTTTCAACCTTGTTGCAGATTGTCCTCTTGTGGTGAGATCAGCTGGGTTCTGTTTACCATTACAGTGTTTCCATACTTCAGGAGGTGTCAAAGTCTGTATCTCCACTACTCGGTTAGCAACAAATGGTTTCCATTTCTTTGGTGAACTTTGAATCCAGTGGATTACTATCATGGAGTCAGACCACATTTGCAGCTGGGTGATTTGCATATCCAGTGCCTTTAACAGGTTATTTGCCAACCTTGCTCCAATTAAAGCTCCCATTAGCTCCAAGCGGGAAGTGTCATTGTTTTGATTGGAGCCACTCTGGATTTCGAAGCCACGAGTGCAGTTACCGTTTTTCCTTTGGCTGTTTTTCCTTGCAAATATGCAGCTGCACCATAAGCCCTTTCACTGGCGTCTGTGAAAACATGGAGAAGTTGTGTTTTACCTTGCATCCTTTCTGTTCCATACCACCTTGGAATGACTATTTGGTGTATCTGTGTGAGCTCCAAGCACCACTGCTGCCATGCGTTGGAAAGGTCGGGAGGCAGCTCATCATCCCAGTTCAGCCCCCGACGCCACATTTCCTGAAACAGACACTTAACACGGACAGTAAATGGCGTTAGAAATCCTATTGGATCAAATATTCTGGCAGATGACCTTAAAACACTCCTCTTTGTATTCTCTTTACCTTGTAGAATGTTCATCAAGTGGTTAAGGTCAAATGTAAAGTTGTCGGTTTCCGGTCTCCACACTAAACCAAGTACCTTTAGCACATTTCCGTGTGTCTCAGTTTCTTGTGTCATGTCAAAGGAACAGTTTGACCACTTAGCTTTTAGTTCCTGTGAGTTTGTTGTCCACTTACACAGGTTCATGTTTGCAGCAGCCAGTATCTCCTTTGCTCCGGCGGTAAGTGTGTAGGCCTCGTCTGAGTTTCTTGAACTAGCAATCAGATCATCCACATAGAGCGAATCTCTCGTCATTTTTACTGTTTCTGGTAGGATGTCTTGATATTTCTCTAAATGATGTCTGATTGTGGCAGCAAGTAGGAAAGGACTTGGAGTTACTCCAAACACAACGCGTCTCATTCTCATTATGCATGTGCTTGTGCTCTCTGCATCTGGGGGCCCTGTGAGCCACAAAAACCTCAGAGCGTCTCTGTCCCTTTCAGTGATAGAAATCTGCAGGAACGCCTTTGTGATGTCCGCTGTGAAGGCTACAGGATGTTGACGAAATCTGAACAAAATGCTCATTAGGTCAGAATTTAAGTTTGGGCCAGGTAACAAACAGTCATTCAAAGAGGAGCAACCCTTTTCATGTGATGAAGCATCAAACACTATTCTCAGCTTGGTAGTTACCTTGTCCTCTCTGATCACTGCGTGATGAGGTAAGTACTAAGTCACATCAGCAGTCCCTGAAAGACTGCTATCAGGTACTTCCTCACAAATTCCCTGCTCGGTGTAATCCTCTATTACATTATTGTATCTTTTGTACAGAGACACATCAGAATTCAGTTTTCTTTTCAGCATTTTAAATCTTTTCTGTGCAACCCCTTTGTTATCAGAAATCTTGGGCGTGTCTTGTCGCCATGGCAATGCCACTTCGTATCTGTCATTAATGAATTTGACTGACCTGTCAAAGCTGTCAATGGCTTTCTTGTCATCCGATGTTTCTTCTCCTTTGGTGGAAATGCCCAGTGACTCTATTTCCCAGAATGCTCTCAACTGGTTAGAAATGTCCACTGGGTTTTCACTGACTCCGATGTGCAGACATGTTGCTTCATTCATACTCGACATCATTACTGGTCCTTGCACTGCCCAGCCAAATCTTGTTTCAACAGCCACTAAAGCATCTGAGAGTCTTTCAGTTTTGCCTGCGACTACTTTCCAGTAGTAATCTGCTCCGATAAGTACAGAAAGTTCTAGCTCGTCCTTGTCTCCTGTAGACACATCTGCTACTGGTAGTCCCTTTTCCTCCAGCTGATGCTGAATGTGCTCACTGGGAACCTTCATGACTGCAGTACAAAGCTGTGGTGTTTGGACAGCTTCTATTTCAAATTTCTGTTCTTTGTTTCTTACATTTTCAAGGATTAGTTTTATGACATTGCATCTGGTGGTTGTTGGGTTCTTTGAGCCAAAAGTGTGAAGATTTAATGTCTCTTGTTTCATCACTGGTAGCTTTAAATCTTTCACTTGTTTCTCATGAACAAAACTGCGTTGGCTTCCTCCATCAATCAAACAACGCACAATTTTCTCCCCCCAAGGTCCTTTAATCCTTGCTCTCACCGTTTGCAAAAGCACAGTTTCACACCTTACTGGAGTCGGTTTAGCATTTTGTGGAATAACTGATGAGACTACAGTGTCACTGGTGTCCGCGGCAGCTTTTGTGGTCTCTTTTGATTCTTCTCCTTTCTCACACACTACAGCATGGTGTCTCCTTCCACAATCAGTGCATGTTACATTTTTTGATCTGCAGTCTCGGGCAAGATGTCTAGGCTTCAGGCATATGAAACACCTCCCCATTTTCTTTAACTTTTCCTTCCTCCCTGTGACAGTGTCTTCAGTGCACTGTTCTGACTTGTGGCTTGTACTGTTGCAGAATAGGCAACAGAGTGGTGAATTGGAACTGCCAGTATGAAGTGCTGCAGCTGATGGCACATTAGGTCTTTTCCACTTTTCTCTGCATAAATCCTGTTTATAATGTTGTCTGTAAGCAGCGGGTGCATCTTTCACTTCTCTTGGTTTTGTTAAATGTACAGCACGTTCCCTGCTTTCAACTTCTTGTTGTAAAAAACTAACAAGATCTTCAACCCCCCACCTTTTTCCTTTATCTGTTTTACGAGTGTATTCAAGAGCAAGATCATCGGGAATCATCTGGAGGAGAATGGGGCACAATAAAGCTCCATAACTGTCTGACGCAACATTTAAAGCTTCTAGGCTTCTGATCTGCACTTCCACATCATCAAAAAGTTGTCTCAAAGCAACAACATCCGAGGATCTTTTTACTGGGCTCAGATTCAACAACTTAGACATGTGCGCACTCACAATTAGCTCTTTTCTGCCAAATCTTTGTTTAAGCATGTCTACAGCGGCATCATAATTAGTGTCAGTTACCTTCAACCCTGCAATTGCACGTGCAGCTGGACCGGTGAGGTAGGACTTCAGGTAAGTGAACTTCTCAGTTTTGCTTAAATCTGGATTTTCATGAATAGCGTTCACAAACTGGTCCCAAAACTCTTGCCACATACACACTTCTCCGTTGTATTTGCTTATTGAAAGCTTGGGCAGTTTTACCGAGGGTCTGCTTGCCGTTGACCGTGTACTTGCATCACTCAGCCGAGTGCCTGATAATGCAGCGGTGTCCACTAGAAATTGTTGTTCTTGTGTAGCAGCCCTGGCAATCGCTCTTTCTGCTCGTGTCCTCCATAAGTTTGTGTTGTCTTGATATTCTATTGTCCTCACCATGTCCGCATCTAACTCCTCCAGAGGAATTGCCTGCTCTATTTCTGGCTCAAGCTCTTGGAGGGTTTTCTCCTTCTGTGATAACATGGCTAGTAGCTCCAGCAAACGGTCAGCATTCACATCAGTCTCACTTGTTTCCGCTTGAATTTGTTGCACAAGCTTCGTAACAGATGCACGCAGAACAGTCCGTTTCTGTTTTAATCTCTGAAGTCGCTCCGTCATTTTTTTTTTTTTGTTAGCAGCTATCGGCTCGATCCCAACAAAGTTCCTTTTTACTCACGTAATCCCGTGTTTTCGGCACCAGAAAATGTTGTGGATTTAGCTGAAACATCCAATCTTGCTGAAAAAGACGACTGTAGATTCGATTTCCTTATATATAACTTTAATTCTGAACTGCGGCAACTTCCAGCATTTACATAGAGCTACATCTTCTAGAAAATTCACTGACTTGTTCGCTGGTCAGGAATCACAAACTAAACAACCATGGCTGACATATGGCCCCTACGCCATCTAGTGGAGAAACACTTAAATGACCAAACATTACAATCTTAACCCAAATTGTATTTAGTTTTCATTCTATTTAGTAAACATATAAACAATATGACTTAACCATATTATAACAATATTCAACAATAGGGACCCCTTTTTCATCATTCTATCTCTATTCTCCCACTCTGCAGAATCTGTTAGTTCAATCTCTAACGTTCTGCTCTCTCTGCTTTTTCTCACAGTAGCTTCATCTGGTCTGTTCCTGTTTGGCTGTGACTCCATCCTGGAGAGAAATATCAGCTGTGCTGCTGCCATCAACACCTTTGTTTCTAGATGATGGAGATCGGCCCGTATTTCAGTGCAGTCCTTTTCTCTGACTAACTGGATGTGCTGTCTTCATCTTCTGACATGGGAGCTGGCTCAGAGCTCGTCTGCCTTTTACAGCTGCTTTTTCTATCTATGCTTCTTTTTCTATGTCTGCTTCTGTCTCCTTGAACCCCAGTGGGCCTCAGCAGATGGCCGCTCACACTGAGCCTGGTTCTGCTGGAGGTTTCTTCCTGTTAAAAGTGAGTTTTTCCTCTCCACCGTCGCTACAAGCATGCTTAGAGTGAGGGGTTGCCTTAGAGTCTACAAGTTGATGCCATCATCTGATTTTCCTTAGATAGAAAACTTTGAATCAATCTGACTGGATGATCTGGTGAACTGGAAAGTGCCTTGAAAAGGGTGCGTAACATTGGTTGGGCTTGGTTGCTGTTCTATGAGCCCTAATGCAGCCTGGTTAAAATCCCCAGAATGAAACAACAGGTTTTCTTCCTTTTAAGGTATGATCATGAATATTAAGATGAGCTGTGCTCTGATTAACTTCATTAATCAATAATCTATGTGGTCAAGATCTAATACAACGTTTTGTTTCTGAAGATTCCCTTTTTGGAACCCCCCCAAACCCATCCAGCTTGTGCGTGCATAGTGTATATACCGGATTAACTCAAAATTATTGTTATTTTACTAGAAAATAATTCCTCTGGACAGATCCCAGCAGTGTGCTACCTTACCCTTAGCCAGACGCTCCAGTCTCTTTCCATGCTCTGGGGAAACACAATACCTACAAATGATACAAAGAGAAAAGTTATTTTATGTTTGTTAAGCTCTTTAAAGTAAACAAACAAAAAAAGAAGAAAGGCTCTGAAATATAAATGTCAAACACATTAACAATTAGGAAAGTTGTACAATGCGAGTTCACAGCTCAGGATGTTTGTTCTCACACTGTGTGACCCGAAGCTCTGATGCGATCTACCTGCTTACACTGTACGTCTGAAAACCAGGTGGGACTCAGCTCCGCAGTGAGATGGAGCTACTCAGACTCGTCTATCCAGAAGCCAAACCAGTAGAAGAGGAATATGAAGCTCACTAGAGGGAAACGCGCTGCCTTGGATATTTGGGCAATTTTGTGCTGAAAGCCCTAAAAATAAACGGTGACGACGTATTTGGACAAAGACATGGCTGAGCAAACGTGGCTACTACGGTCTGTCAGTTTGACAGAAAGTCTCCATTTCACTTGCACACTTGTGTTTTTTGTCTGAGAGAAAGAAGTAACCTTGTTTTCCCACTGAGCGATTTGCACACTGTTTTTATCCACAGCTTTCTTCCCGCCGTCATCGTACGTCACTCTAAATGCAAAGTGGTCCCATACAGCAGACCTATAAAGTGCTGCTGGCGCGTCTTCCAACTCCTGTTCTTTCCCACTCGCCATTCCCACACAATTCTCCACAACAACTGATTTTATTCTGCTACACCCGGCTACGCTGCTTTGCTTCTTCTTCTTCTTGTTTACTACTGGTGGTTGGCTTTGGTCGCAGTACCGCCACCTTCTGCTCTGGAGTGTAATCGTTTTGCCTACTAGAAAAAGGAGCAGCGCATGAACCGAACGCAACACACGCGAACCGGACCGAGACAGTCGAACTGAACGGTTCGGATGGTTTTCAGAAACCGTTCCATCCCTATTACCAGTCAGGTCGCATCAGAGCATTGGGCCATACGCTGCAAGGACAAATATAGTGACTGTGAATCCTTTAAACGGCGTGGTTTCATCTTATAATCTGATTTGTAGCTGAGAGGAAAAAGTGAAAATATCGTACCAGGTATGCCAGCACTAATTAAGACCCCTTTAAACAATCAGTAGGGACTGTTCTTCCAATTACAATACAGAGGAATTTTGTTTCATTTTGTTGCAAAGAACATGTTTTACTAATGAAAACTCGAAAAAACAACAACAACAAAAAAAACTATCCAGAAATGAAACTTTGAAAAAAAAATTAATAAAAAAGGTTTTCAGAATAATTCTATGTTTAAGGTGAATCCGTGTATGGTTCGTTCTTTGTTTTTTTATTCGTTTCAAAACAAAACGAAAAAACAAAACAAGCATGTGTTTTTTTGTTTTTCCGTTTTTAAAACGAAATTAGAAAAAAACGGCATTTGTAAAAATGAAAAAAAAAAACGGTAAGTTTTGGGATATTCTTTTTACTGCAATGGTTAAACCAAACACAAACTTTTATTTTGTTTTTAATTCGTTGGACCTTATGGCAGAACCGGAAATGAAGACCTGAACTCCCAACACATAACTTTTTTAGTTACCAGTAGGTGGTGGTAATGTACAGGTGCTGGTCATAAAATTAGAATATCATGAAAAAGTAGATTGATTTCAGTAATTCCATTTAAAAAGTTAAACTTGTATATTATATTCATACATTACATAAAAACTCATATATTTCAGATGTTTATTTTGTTTAATTTTGATGATTACAAATGACAACAAATGAAAATCTCAAATTCATCATATCAGAAAATTAGAATATTACTGAAGACCAATAAAAACAAAGGATTTATAGAAATGTTGGCCAACTGAAAAGTATGAACATGAAAAGTATGAGCATGTACAGCACTCAGTATTTAGTTGGGCCTCCTTTGGCCTGTATTACTGCAGCAATGCGGCGTGGCATGGAGTCGATCAGTCTGTGGCACTGCTCAGGTGTTATGATAGCCCAGGTTGCTCTAATAGTGGCTTTTAGCTCTTCTGAATTGTTGGGTCTGGTGTATTGCATCTTCTTCTTCACAATACCCCATAGATTTTCTACGGGGTTAAGGTCAGGAGAGTTTGCTGGCCAATTAAGAACAGGGATACCATGGTCCTTCAACCAGGTACTGGTAGCTTTGGCACTGTGTGCAGGTGCCAAGTCCTGTTGGAAAATGAAATCTGCATCTCCAAAAAGTTGGTCAGCTGCAGGAAGCATGAAGTGCTCTAAAACTTCCTGGTATGTGGCTGCGTTGACCCTGGACCTCAGAAAACACAATGGACCAACACCAGCAGATGACATGGCACCCCAAACCATCACTAGGGTTGGGAATTGAAAAGATTTTCACGATTCCGATTCCCTTTTCGATTCTATGAAATGATTCGATTCTTTATCGATTCTTTTTTCGATTCCAATTTGGGGGAAAAAGGAGAACAAACAGTTTGATTATCAGCATCAACTTTGTTTACTTAACTATTGCACAATCTTACAAACTCAACAAGATCAAGATGTCCACAGGAAATGTGAAACTGGAGTAACATCTGTGTTTAAATGAAAAATAAATATACAAGAACAAACTTAATAACCAACAATGTCTAATAACAAATGATGGGATAATAACCTATTTTAAATAACAAAAAATACTAATTATAAAAGAGTAGTAGGGAAAATTAACAGTTATTTTGCAGAAAGATGAGCATATCTGCTTTTTCTGGAAGGATACAGGATCTTTCAGGGCTTATGGTGTCTCCAGCCGTGGAGAACACCCTCTCAGATGGGGTGGAGGAAGCCTGCACACAGAGGTAGTTTTCAGCCAGTCAGATAGCAAGGGCAGCGTATCTTGCTTGTTCCACCACCACAGTGTGGCGCTATCCCTGCAGGGGATGGAGGGCAAGCTTTTATAGAGCTGGATTTCCTGATCTACCCTCTGGGCTAAGGAAAGACGGGGCTTTGATTCACAAAGTGACCGCAGCTCGTTGTCTTCCTCCTCGAATAGTTCTTCCAACTTGCGTAACTTGCGTAACTTGCGTAACTTACGTAACTTACGTAAAAAACGTGACGTAAGTCGTGCTCCCCAGAGCCGGCGCTCTAGGCTCTGGTGCTGCGGGAATCGAAAAAAGAATCGTTCAGTGAGCTGCCAAACGATGCCATGGAATCGGAAAATACGGAACCGGTTCTTAACAGGAACCGGTTTTCGATTCCCATCCCTAACCATCACTGACTGTGGAAACTTTACACTGGACTTCAAGCAACGTGGATGAAGTGCCTCTCTTCTTTTCCTCCAGACTCTGGGACCTTGATTTCCAAAGGAAATGCAAAATTTACTTTCATCAGAGAACATGACTTTGGACCACTCACCAGCAGTCCAGTCCTGTTTCTCTTTAGCCCAGGCAAGACGCTTCTGACGCTGTCTGTGGTTCAAGAGTGGCTTGACACAAGGAATGCGACAGCAGAAACCCATGTCTTTCATACGTCTGTGTGTGGTGGTTCTTGAAGCACTCACTCCAGCTGCAGTCCACTCTTTGTGAATCTCCCCCACATTTTTGAATGGGTTTTGTTTCACAATCCTCTCCAGGGTGTGGTTATCTCTCTTGCTTGTACACTTTTTTCGACCACATCTTTTCCTTCCCTTCGCCTCTCTATTAATGTGCTTGGACACTGAGCTCTGTGAACAGCCAGCCTCTTTAGCGATGACCTTTTGTGTCTTGCCCTCCTTGTGCAAGGTGTCGATGGTCGTCTTTTGGACAACTGTCAAGTCAGCAGTCTTCCCCATGATTGTGTAGCCTATAGAACTAGACTGAAAGACCATTTAAAGGCTTTTGCAGGTGGTTTGAGTTAATTAGCTGATTAGAGTGTGGCACCAGGGGCCATCAATTTTGAACCTTTTCAGTTAGCATTACCAAAATGGAAACGAGTAATGTGGAGCTCCTTGGCGGCTCAAAGCATCACTGATTTCAGAGTGTGTTTTTCCTCTCTCAAAAAGTTCGATAATCAATGCAGAAAACGGTTCAAGTGCAGCCATGTGGAAGTAAATCTGTGTCGCTGGGATTTGAATTAAAAATGCCGCTGAAATTTAAATGTTGTATGTTTGTTCTTACTGTTTCAGTGTTAAAATATATTCAGAACACATCTTTTGACCTAAAAAAAATTGTCATTATTTCTACACAGTTAAAATTTCATTTGTTATTTTCTCTTCAAGCTAAAAATTCACATTACTATTTCAAAGTGTATTTTCAGTAGTGTATTTTCAAAGAGTATTTTCAATACTCATTTTTCAGTGTTAAAAAAATCTGCATATAAAAATATTCAACCTTTCAAAATTCAAACTCAATATTTTCAGCCTCCTGAGATTCAACTGGGTCAGTTTCATTTTTCTGTCAACTACAGAAAAATTAAAGTAATAAACTCACCGTTGAGTTAGCGTTAGCTTTCATGACCTGCTCCATCATGCTGGTTTTCCTTCAGTATGAGCGCCACAAACGTCACGTCACATGACTAAGAAAACGTAACGGGATTGGCTGGGTGTTGAACGCCACAATCCATCGTTAATGTCTGTGACCTGAAGTAACCCTTCCCTTTTTACGCTGAATTTCGACGCTTAATTTAAGACGGTGAAATAGAGCCAATTGAATCTCAGGAGGCTGAAAATACTGAGTTTGAATTTTGAAAGGTTGAATTTTTTATATGCAGATTTTTTTAACACTGAAAAATAAGTATTGAAAATGTAATCACTTTGAAATAGTAATGTGAATTTTTAGCTTGAAGAGAAAATAACAAATGAAATTTCAACTGTGTAGAAATAATGACAATGAATTTTTTTTTAGGTCAAAAATGTGTTCTGAATATATTTTAACACTGAAACAGTAAGTACAAACATACAACATTTAAATTTCAGCGGCATTTTTAATTCAAATCCCAGCGACACAGATTTACTTCCATACAGCCATTGACATTTATTTAGAAATGGTTTGTTTTGATGCCGTCTTCATCCACTGTAAATGATTCTTCTTTGGCGACTTACTTCATTTCCGGTACCGCTACATATTAAAACAACAACCGTATTTTATTTTCATTTAGATGGCAAAACAAAACTCGAACGCTGTTGATTTTCTATTAATTCGATTTTTTATTTTTTCGATTTAGGTTTTAAAAAACGGAAAAACGGAAAAACCACGTGCTGGTTTTGTTTTTTCGTTTTTGTTTTGAAACGAAAAAACCAAAGAACGAACCATACACGGATTAAGGTGGATTCTATATATTTACAAAACATATGTATGAAATAAAACATTTTTTTAATTTTGATTTAGAAAACGTGTTCTGTACAATAATAGAACAAAAATTCATTTCAAATTCCAACAGCAGATTAGAAGGGGAATAGACGATATTTACTACAGCTTCCAATAGAAATTTGTAGACGGTCTCACCATGATTTGGGCGCTCCAAAGTGCAGGTAATTGATGCTATAAAGGTCCATGTCCTCAGTGTGCCATGCAAAGGTGGTCTTCCACATACCAAAATACAGGTAAGGAGTGTTAACGCCCTCGATGGTTATACCGCTGTCACGCTCAACCGTGTCCAAAATGGTTCCCAGGCGACAAATATTCCACTGCTCCACATCCTGCCAGAACACATTAATAAGACAGGTCACCGCCGGAACGTGACAGAATATGAAAAAATAAATTACGTTCCAGCATCAGTTCGGCCGACGCCGACCTCAGAGCGTCAACTCACAGGATCATACAAGCTTCCGTTCACATCTGCCCCATAAAGAGGAGGGTTAAAGGTTAAGTTCTTCCAATATTTCCTTTCCAGCTCCTCAAAATCATCATAATGTGGACTGCAGAACCTAAACAAAAGGTATTTGGCAGTGTTAAATCTTTTAACTTTGAACAAATGCTTATGAGCAATAGGATTCTGGTCTTACTTGTCACTATTGGCGATCCTACGGAACTCTTTGACCGTCATGGCTCTCTTCTGTATGTTGTACTGAGTGAAAAGGCCCGACTGGCCGGTCACCACCTGCTGAATGGGTGCAGGAATCACCAAATCGTCTATGTCCTCATAAGAAGCCCGAGGCTTCCACTCCTTCGGTGGAACAATCTGAAGGAAGGATCCATAGATTATTTCAGCAAGCAGCATCAAAAACACGTCTAATCGAGCTGGATGTTTTCAATCTTTCTCATAGTCAAGAAGAAATTAGTTACCTTAGCTAATCCTACTCTATGAGCTCCTTTGGACTCTATATACGCAACATAGCGGTTAAAGTTCTTGAATTCTTCATTGGTTGGATAAAACGTCATGATTCCCTTGGAGCCATGGTTTTGAGAGAGTCCGTCTGAAGCCATTGTCGATCTCAGGAGGAGCTCCTTCACACTGAAAGGAGACAAGTTATGATTTCTAATCAAACAGTAGCTTATATTTTATTCTACTTCATTATTACATATTTCATAACACATACACTTAATTACCTAAAAAAAAAACAGGAGATTAGAACCACTTCTAAGGGTTCATGGATGTTAACGCATTTGGTGTTACAAATTCGATGGTATGGAGGACCAACTCTGCCATATTTAAAAATAAATACAGAAATAAATAAATGCTCAATAAATATATAAGCATACAATTAATTGCCAACAAAAATACAATAAACAAATAAATGTAAGTAGAAATTAAATTAAAGTGAGACATAAATGTATATAACTCTTAATTAGCTTATTTATTTATTTGCCTTTGTAATATTTACCTTATTTATTTTTTGGTCCTTTATAATCTTCAACTTTATTTTTTAATTACTTATATTTTAAAGTATTTATTTATGTGCATGTTATAATATTTTTGTCTGCTTTATTCTTCCTTTGTATTTTTTTTACCTTAGTTATTTCTTCGCCGCTGTTTATTTCTCTCTGCCCTTTTTACATTTCTGTCTGCATTTCTGTCTCATTATGCAAATGAGGAGGGGGTGTGTCCTAGAGAGTCAACTTCTGCTCATTGGTTGGCTTGGCGGTCCATCTTCTTAACTCACAGAGCTCAGAGTACTAAGTTAAATTTTCTCTTTTCTGTTGCTGTTGTTAATAAAAGTATGTTTTAAGATCATTTGAGGCGAGAACATTATACTTTTAAGCATCACCATATGGCCCATTCACAGATTTAATGCGTAATTTAAAAGAAAATGTGACGAACTTGAGAGGACCGCGGCAACCAGCAGAACTCCGAAGCTAACCGCAGCCCGTCTGCAGCGGCCCTCTCTCTGCAATTAATTGTATGCTTATATATTTATTGAGCATTTATTTATTTCTGTATTTATTTTTAAATATGGCAGAGTTGGTCCTCCATACAATGGAACCCCAGTGTTAAAATACAGTTTTTTAAAAAAGTGTTACAAGTTAGGTGGAACCCCGGTGTTAGAATATAAAAAAAAAGTGCTAATGCGTTCAGTGGAACCCCGACGCTACAATAAAAAAAATATGTTAACATGTTCGGTGGAACCCCGGGGTAACGCACAACATTCTGGTTGTTTCCAGAAGAATGGATCTAGACTTAGAAGCTGGTACAAACAAAAGGGGAACATTGTTAAAAAGAAGCAGATATACATACCTAGGCTTTACAAAAGGCTTTGCTTTATTTTTCTGCTGCTGTTCCAGGATGTAAAGTAGGGCTGGTGTTTAATCCATCTCTGATCTAGTTGAAAAACAACAATAAAACACTGGTTTGATTTCATCATGTATTTGGTTCAACACAGATCAGTGACGTTAGCAGTGTTGGGCACGTTACTTTGAAAAAGTAATTAGTTATAGTTACTTCTCCCAAAAAGTAACTGAGTTACTAACTGAGTTACTCCACAATAAAAGTACCTAGTTACTAGTAAAAGTAACTATTGCGTTACTTTTGCGTTTCTCGCCCCCGTAACCCTCACCACCCAGCCCCCACCTTCTCGCGGTGTGTTTCCAAAGCCAGCTGAATAGAGCGGACGACAAAGACAAGAACCTGCAGAGAGTTCAGCATTTATTGCAACTCAACGTAAATGACATCAGGGGGGAACGCCATGTGAAGTTTTTTAACAGGGCGTTCAGATGTGGTGAAATTAATAACTGGGGATGCCTAATTCTGAAATCATGTGTGTTTGGGTTGTTATAGATACTGCAACATCTATCAATCATCTATCTATCTAGATCTATACTCTGTGTGTGACATAAAATATGGATCTCTATCCCTGCCACAAAGGCCATCAAATAATGTTTAAAATAAAAAACACAGTAGGTTGAAAAGGCAGAGTATCCATCCATCCATCCATCCATCCATCCATCCATCTAGGCTAATGATTGTTTACGCTCTCCATAGTTCCCTGTGGCGCGAGCACAGGGCGACTGTTGCGCGCCTTTAGCTAGCATGCATGTTTCCTGTCGCTTGCGCGGTGAATCGTGTCGCCTGCGCTGTGCGGAGATGCAGAGGAAACCGTATCTGATGGGGAAACGCAGCTCGACGTAACACCAGTATTTCCATCTGGAAAACACTGTTTTGCTGCTGGAGTCCTCCTCACTCTCCATCTCTCTGTGTGTGCTGTACGTTAACACCCACCAGCAGAAACACCCACCTACCCAACTGACAGACGGAATCTCACTATACATCAGCCATTCTCATCCTCCCCTCTCTCATGACAAGGCTCGCACGAGTCCTGTCATGAAAAAATGTTAAATGTGCGACCTGAGTAACGCGCAGTAACGGGGTGTCTGCAATGGTAACTGCGTTATAGTTACAGTCAAAGTAATTAGTTAGATTACTCATTACTAAAACAAGGTAACGGCGTTAGTAACGCCGTTAGTCCCATCCCTGGTTGTTAGGTCAGCTTGCTTGTAAACAGATGTCTTCATCTACTCATCACCAGAAAGCTTTTTGTGTAAAAACATGAGCGCCATTTTGGTCCTCCTTGATCAACATCATCATCATCTGTGTAAGGGTGCTAACATTAGCCTGCCTTGCTATCACCAATCAGAGACCCACCTACAGGCAGTCAGTTAGTACTGCTGCTACTACTGAGACCAGGGAACGATCCTAAACAAACTATGACTCACTGCTAATGTTGCTAATGCTACATCCACACACACTTGGATGCGCACAAGCCATATTTGCCGCAACAGAAACATTATTTCCACTGTTCAGTAGAGACAAGGATGCAGAATGAACTGAATGTGGTTCTGTTTGTAAAAATAAACACTGAATAAAGTCCTTCAGTTCTCATCTAAATTGTGTTTATTTGCTGCATGACGCAGCAGCGCAACATTTCCGCTGTGCTTGGAACGAGAGGATGCGATGATAAAGAAGTGGAGGACGTAAGGAAAAAATGTTTCCAACATGATAGAAAAGACATGGTAGCCATTAGCAGGGTAGATTGAGAAGACTTTAGTGAGTTGATGAACTTCATGGTGTCAAGTTTTAACATTCCTCTAAGGGCAACCAGAACCACCAGTTTAAAGGCTCTACTAGCAGCACAAAGACTCTCCAAGCACTGATTGCCAGATTACATTAAAAACAAAAATACCCTTTTAGTTAATGACAGTTTTATATCTGTGTTGCCTTGAGATTAAAGTGTTATAATGCCATTAGCTGGGATCATTTTAGGCTGTATGCACCAAGAAATGTTCTGGTGGCTGATATCAGAAGATTCTCTGCTGGCAGAGACAATTGATAGGCCAGCCAAGAACTGAAAGATGAGACCTTTTCTTCAAGTATGGCTCCTCTTCCCTCCATAAGGGAAGGGTTACTTCAGGTCACAGACATTAGCAATGGATTGCTAATGCCTGAACGAAAACCAGCATGACGGAGCCGGTCATGCAAGCTAACGCTAACTCAACTACAGAAAAATGAAAGTAATAAACTCACCGTTGAGTTAGCGTTAGCTTGCATGACCGGCTCCGTCATGCTGGTTTTCGTTCAGACATTAGCAATCCATTGCTAATGTCTGTGACCTGAAGTAACCCTTCCCTTTTTACACTGAATTTAGACGCCAAATTTAAGACAGTGAAATAGAGCCAGTTGAATCTCAGGAGGCTGAAAATGTTGAGCCTAAAGCCCACTGTGAACATTAAGACAGAAAAAAGAAAACAAAACAAACACTCAGTTCAGGTGTTTTATACATATGTGAATCAGAAAATTGTTTATATACCAAACTGAACTAATGTTGTTCTCTACTTCAAAAAACCCTTTAGATTTTCAAAAATTCAATATATAACATGGAGGCATAAACATCTAATTTTATTTCAGTGTTAAATTATATTTAAAGTAACAAATTATAATAAACAATGTCTCCAGACCTTTACTGGTTGTTGATTTTCTTTATTCAGACCCCGCTGATTTTTAATTAGTTTCCGCTGACATACACTCTTTTTATATTGTCTGTCATCTTTATCTTTAATGGCTTCTTGCTTGAACTCCTTGTAGTCTATATAAACTACTTGAACAAGAATTTCACTGAAGGAGTAATCCCAATGAAAAATAAAGTTGAGTCTAGGTCTAATTCTTTTAAATAGCCCTGGATCATTAAGCTACTATTCTCTGCCATTGATTATGTTTGCAGGATCATGCTATTATCATTAACAGAGGCTAGTTGGATTACGCCCCTACTCCATATTCCACATTATTTTGAAGCTAGTTTGAACACCGCGTGGATGCTGCCGCGTGCGGCAATAATCGATCCTGATTGGTTAAGCGTGGGTCTCTTTAAATCTGCATGAAAGCTGGTTAGCGATCGTGCTAAAGGAACAAGCCTGATCGGTTCATTGCGCCGAAGTAAAACACAGTTAGCAACGATAGCAAATGCCCGTTTACTAGCACCGATTCGGCAAATGTGATCGCGCAACTAACACGTTAATACGGTAAACAACATGAACAGGCTGTTTAAAAAGCAAGACATTAGCATTTTAACCCTATTACACCAGACATGGGAAGGGACTAAAAGATGTTACATCTCCTCCCCGGAACATTTATAAGGAAGATGGGCAAACCTAGCTCTAGCATTCTCCTAATATCTAGAACAACATACTTGAATTATCAATTTGTTTAAATAAAAGCCTGAGATTAAATGTTTCCAATTCTAAACACATTCCTCATCAAAACAGGACAAACTAAGCACCCGACCGTTAGCATCTCCATTAGCTTCACAGCTCCGGCTAGCAGGCTATGGCTAACGGATTAGCATTTTAAAATGAGAAGTTAACGTTCTGCGTCCAAACGACGTCGACGTATCGATACTTACCTAATGCTCCAGGTAAGACCGAATGCTGTCCCCTTATGTGGCAAATACACTGTAGTTAATAAAAAGGGCTGCGTGTAGAAAACCACAGAGAGGATATCATGCTAACCCCCGGAGTACATCACTATCCTCCATTACCGTCCCTACGCACGCATACGCATCCAGCAAGTTGTTTACAGCAAGACGTAAGGGACACGTTCAGCCAATCAGAAGGCGAGACACGTTCAGCCAATCAGAAGACGGTTCTCATGGCTTTCTCTGTAAGCCTAGGAGACAACTTTAACAGCATTTTACTTATAAATGCAATTATAAGTGGTTGTTTTTTTGCACTTTAAACGAAAAAATATTCTTCCTAATTTTAAGTTTTAAGTCATTTATGTAGTAAATTACAATCACGCAATTTCCCATCTCATTAGGGTAGGGTTGCCCCCTTTCAGAAATGTAAATAAGGGACATGGGGGTCCTAGAGAAAGGTTCTTTCTTACAAAAATAAAGTAGAAAATAACAGTTATATACAGGAGATCAACTTAACTTGTGCAAGGCAACAGAAATAAATAAATAAACAGGCAGTAATATTACAACCAATCGAAAGAACGGAAGAATTAAATAAAAATAAAGGAGACAGACTCATTCTGCAACAAGACAGTTCCTTGCATCAAGTTAACATTTTGTTGATTCAAAAATCCATAAATTTCCACATGTCCCTTCAAAGTTTTTGTATATGTCTGTATTTGTCGGCTAACAGAGATAAAGTTTGTTCGTTTTTGAAACTTATTAGTGAAGGTTTTTTATTTTTCCATTTACACACTTATGATATCTTCCCATACTTGTAATAATATTGACCATGTTGGATAAATCTTTCCCAATGTCATTCTTGTATGTTAATATTTGATAGTACTAGAGAAACTTTATTGTCGTGGGGGATCTGGGGGTCCTCCCCCAGAAAATTTTGCATTTCTTAGATGCAATTTCCAGCAATATCCTGCATTTCAGCCAAATTGAGTCCCGTTTCAGCTCAACACAGACCATATTTTTATTTTGTTCTTTGAACATGGCTTGTATTCCTTGCAATAAGCAACAGCCAATTAAAGTAATTAATAAATGGAAATGTTAAGTTTGCATAGTATCATTGTGTGCAGAAATCCCCTCACAAAACCAAGGGCACGCTTGGCCTGGTAAAACTTATTTTGGTTAAGATTACCGGTATTATATCAATATTTTTTTGTGCTTATTTTTGTTTTATTTTGGTTGTTAGTTACCAGGTTTATTAAATGACTCACTTTGTTGAGCTATATACCTTTCCTGCCAACCTCCGCCCCACTTTGAAAACCACTGTCCAAGATCATGATGGATGAATGGATATTCAGACCAGCGCAGCAGCTTCAGTACTACAAAGAAAATGATATGGCTATGCTCGCTAAAATATTCAGACACCCATGGAAATGCATATAGTTTAAAGAAATAAAAAACTGCTAATTCAATAGGATAGGCTCTGATTCTGTATATTATGTTGAGGCAGACACTCTACTTTTAAGGCTAGGCTTAAAACTTTCCTTTTTGATAAAGCTTATAGTTAGAGTGGCTCCGGTTGCTGCTATAGGGTTAGACTTCTGGAGGACATAGGGACCCTTTTTCCATCATTCTGCTTCATTCTATCTCTATTCTCCCACTCTGCAGAATCTATTAGTTCAATCTCTAACGTTCTGCTCTCTCTGCTTTTTCTCATAGTAGCTTCATCTGGTCTGTTCCTGTTTGGCTGTGACTCCATCCTGGAGAGAAATATCAGCTGTGCTGCTGCCATCAACACCTTTGTTTCTAGATGTTGGAGCTTGGCCTGTTTTTCAGTGTAGTCCTGTTTCTCTGACTGTGACTAACTGGATGTGCTCTCTTCATCCTCTGACATGGGAGCTGGCTCGGAGCTCGTCTGCCTGGCTGTGTGTTTCCTGGATGGGGCCGCCTGTGGAGCTGGTTGACAGTTGCCTTTTGTATCTATGCTTCTTTTTTTCTATGTCTGCTTCTGTCTCCTTGAACCCCAGTCGGCCTCAGCAGATGGCCGCTCACACTGAGCCTGGTTCTGCTGGAGGTTTCTTCCTGTTCAAAGGGAGTTTTTCCTCTCCACTGTCGCTACAAGCATGCTTAGTGTGAGGGATCTTATTGTTGATGAGTCGATGCAATCAGCTGGTTTTCCTTAGATAGAAAACTGAATCAATTTGACTGGATGATCTGGTTAAACTGGAAAGAGCCTTGTGATGACTTGTGTTGTGAATTGGCGCTATAGAAATAAACTGAATTGAAACTGAATTGTATATATCAACGTTAATGTTAGTATTTTGATGTGCTTAATTAATCACAGCGTTTTAGTAATTTTAGTAATTGTTAATAAAAAAAAAATTTTTTAATATTCCCATTAAGAGTATCACTGTTGCCTCCTTCTATATTGGAGGGGGGAAAAATGATAGGGGTGGCCAGACATTGGCTAAGGGTGGCCATGGCCACCTCTGGCCCCCCATCTAGCTCTGTCCCTGACTGATGATGTGCCCTGGCTACGTGCCCAGGAGGATGTTCCCTTTGCTGACTGATTAAACCCAATCAGACCGTCAACATTTCATGATATTAAAACCCATTTTAAACTCAAATTATAATTGGATTAGGTACAGATATATAGAGTATCTATATACTTTATATTGTTTAGCATGTTTTATACATTCTGAAGATGTGGCATCTTTTATTTTGCTTCAACAGAAACCCTGAGTTTTAATTCAATAAAACATAAAACTAGCAGTTATCATTACTTACATTTAACGAAGAAATTGTTTTTTAGAGAGATCAATTTATCAGACTTTAAAGAACATCAGGGCTGCCAGCAGACATAGAGCTTTCTCACACCTAAGAATCTAAATCAAAGAGACTTAAGTGGTTAGATAGGGTTTTATATTCATCTTGGGTATTATAACAGTCTCATTACTATGACCTGTGGAAAGAAGACAGCTATTAAAACACTTTCAACATGAAAAATCTCATCTAGATGCAGAACATCTTTAATTTTATGCCAGGAAAGGCACATTCATACACTGAATCCGAATGTTTGATAGGCTATATAACGATATATATGCATCTACATTTAGGCAGTGCATATACAGCATAACCATTTCCATTGATAAATGTAACAATAACATTACACAACTTCTTCACCACAGAAGATAAACAAATTAATAATAATAATAAAAAAAGATTTCAGCAAGTACAACCATTTGTTGAAGCACAGTTTTAGCATAATAGGAAGTACATGTGCACCCTGTTAGTCCACGCACTTTTACTCACCTTTTACACCAAAGGAAAAATCAGCAGCATTAGTGGGTTTTTTTTTTTTTTTTTGGAAAGTCCATAACGGATATAGAATATAATATTTTAAAGACATCAGGCCCAAGTCTATTTCCTCTCTGTTTCCTTAAATTGCATATAAAACAAGTTATGTTGCATCTGGATTCTTTCAAAATGCATATTTAACCTCTAACTCTTCTTCTTTTGGGTTTTTTTTTGTGTGATTTTCAGATGCCTAATCATGGCGGATCGTTTGTTCCTCTCACCTATTTACACCCTCAGCCACACAAAACAGTAAACTATCCAACCAACAGATACGTACTGTCAGGAAGCATTTTAGAGAATGCTTACACTGGAAAAAAACAATCTAGAAATAATTTCAAATTTCTTAAATTAAGTGTATTGATCCTTAATCTAAGCAGGTAAATGAGATAGTTTTCCAATGGAATGACTATTTTTACTCTTAAAATAAGATAATTAGATAATATGCACTTGAAATAAGACAATATAATTGTTTTTTTTTTTGTGTGTAAATTGTCTTGTTCCATTGGAAAAATGTTTCTTTTATCTCCTCAATCAGAAAACAAATGCACTTATTTTAAGAAAAAATTACCTATCTAGATTTCGATTTTTTCCAGTGTATAACCCGCACTTTCCTGTCCCACTATGAGACAAACCACATCCATGAATGAATAACTTCCACTTAGGAACATTTGCTTCTCTCTGACACACATACCAAAAAAATAATCTAAACATTAGGATATAAGGAAGCAAGAAAAGCAACACATCCTGCATTCATCACCGCTGAGACACGGCAGGTCAAAGGGATAAAAACCATACTTTTATCTCAGTAGGAGTCCTGAATATCGTTAAAAAGTAAAACTTTACTCCCCCTGGACTTCTATAACCTTCTTATCGTTTATATATTTGGAAATCATGCAGGTACCTTTGACTGGTTGTCCTCATTTAATAGTTAGTATCTCTAAAATTAGTAGGTTTTATTTGCAGTACATCTGATGTGCGAATAATTTCAGTGGATCTGAAATAGACACTGATCTGTGAGTTAACATTGAAACATGTTTTTTTATGCTGGTTTATAACAGATTTGATCATTTGGAGGTTTATCGATCAAAATTGCTAATAGCTTACTACTGGAAAAATATACCAATCTGCACATTTGAACTCTTAAGACTAAATTAATTGTCAGAAAGCTCAAATTTTTCTATAAAATGAAAAAAAAAACGTGAAGTTGATTTTGAATATATGTTTCTTTTATGATTTGTGATACTTTTTCTCCAGCTTTTTATAATAATTACACTGTCACAGGTACAGAGCAACATATTTAACTCATCCCCTTGTGAAGCAGTGGGCTGCCATTGTGGGGCGCCCGGGGAGCAGTGTGGGCTTAAGGGTCTTCCTCAGGGACCCAGAGTGGCAGTCTGTGGGAGTGGGGCTCTAACTCAGAACCTCAGGATTCCAAGCTCTACACCGTAACCACTAGGCTGCCACTCCCCCAAATTTAATATAAGGTCTTCAGACAGGTGACATATCAGATATTTAACTGATAAGAACAGATTCTACACTTGATCTTAGCCAAAAGGTAGAGAATCGATACGTCAAAAATTTTGTTCAAATTATACGAATTTTTATCTGTTCACAATGTGTTTATGATTGAAAAATTCAGGTTTCACTAGAGCAAAAATATCACACTGATGACGTAGAGGTTTCAATGTTTCATATATCAATTATGATACACTTGGTGTTAAATTAAAGGTTTATCACCAAGTTAAACGCTTAACTCCTCCCGACCAGTAAGTGGCGCACTCGCGTTCGCCTTCTCTCCTTCTGTGCTGTTTGCCAGCTAGCTGCAACATATAATTTCTATTTGTGCAGAACATACATTATATCATAAATATCTCAACCAGTTTGAGTTCAGTTTAAATAGTTTTTGATTTGAATAAATATTTGTAATCCAACTAAAGGGTAATTAAAAAAAATTGTTTTGCTCCTTTAAGGGGTTGTGACATGTAAGAGATTATTATAATCATCTGTCATGTGATTAAAATGAGATCTAAGGCGCCTCTTATTCTTTCTGCCTGTGGTCCTATCCAAGATGGCCGCCCTCTAGGCTAGTCAGCCAGCGTCCAATGAGAAGTCTACGTCTAAAATATCTACGGTGTGTCGATTCTGAGAATCGTAATCATTAGTAGATTATTTATATACTGTTATTATTATAAGGTAAAATGAATAAGTTTATTTCCCACTACTCCAGTTTATGTGCCTGATTGTATACATCAGGGTGTTCAAGAAAATAAATATTTTCACTCTAGAATGATGATGTAGAGGTCTGTAAAACCCACGTATCACATGATACCGTGTGTATTACAGAGATAAACAAATCAACCAACCAGTGATCGACCAGAATCAGACTTTTTTTTTTTTTTTTTCTGTAAGCTGTACTGATGGGTGATCGATAACAAAACTGAAAAAATCTGTTTCTGGTGAACAAAGTAACTGTTAGACCCTGATATAAAGAGGGAGAGCTGTGGCTAGCTATGCTAACAGGTTAGCCTCTTTTAGCTCGGTCAGTTAGCCATATTACGCTACCCTACTTGTAAATTTGTATCAACAACAACCGTTTGTTTTCTACAAGTAGAATAACTGTTGTTTTCTTCGTCTAAAATCTCCACGAAAGTAATTTTTAAAGATGTTTCATTTGTCCTCCTCTGCCCGCAGGTCTTAATAAAAAGAATAAAAAAAAACAAGACTTTTTATGTCACCTTGTTAAATGTCTTAGAAAGCAGTACTTTCCTTCAAGACTAACAATGATTGTTTTCTACTTTCGGCTTGCAAATGAAAAGTAAAATAATAGAAAATATACATAATTATTAGTCAAAAACTCCAAAAGAGATTCAATCAATTAAGAAACGGGTTCAATACAGTTTGTCCGAGTGGAGTTGCCGTATGTTGACGTCATAAGACGGGGCAGATTTGGTACCTACACCAGTTTTAATCATGTCTGAGGTGGTGAATGCAGCATAGTTGTTGTTTATGGTTCATTTTTGTGAAACTTTTTGTAATTTTTCTTTAGCACATCTTTAAAATTATATATATTTTTTCCATTATTATCCTTGCTGAGTTTCCAACAGCTCTTTCATCTTGCTTTAAACCGTCCTACTAACAGCTCTGTTGAACCCAGTTTCCCTTTTACAGCTGTGCTCAAAGGAATTCATTAGCTAGTCCTTCTCAAAGCGAATACACAGACGAAAACTCCAGTCATCATCGTGAAGAGGTTTTGTCTTTACGTTTCTGTCCACTTTTCTGCACAAACATTTCATACACAGAATAGCAGTTCGTTTCGCAAAACGGAGCACAAAGTGGTGCAAAGGTGGAAAAAGAAACTGTGTCTCCGTCCTTCCCTCTCCTCCAGTGTTCTTCGCTGCTTTATCTCGGAGCACCAGCAGTCGCCCGCATCCTTTCAGATGCAGCCCTGCTTGGAATGGCTCCCAAGCCCCAGAAGCCTTAACAATGCAGGAAAAAAAGACCTTCCGCTCGCAATGTGATAAAAGCAGTCCTGCAGCGTTATTTGTCTACAGGCTTTTTGATTTTCAGCGTGTTAATAGAGTCGCAAACAGAAACTGTGTTGTCAGCCTCTCCCTTTTTGGACATGTCAGGCTCCCAGAGAAAGAACTCGTGGAGGAGGGTGTTGACGGTATCGGGGCACTCCATCATGACCATGTGACTTCCCTCCTCTATGACCTTCAGGAATGCAAAGAGGAGGATCTGTAAGCAGAGTCACAATAAATGCAAACCTGTTAACATCTGAGATAGATCAGACACACAGCGCCATCACTGGAAAAATCCAAATCTAGATAGGTAATTTTTTCTTAAAATAAGTGTATTTATTCTTGAATAGAGAAGATAAAAGACATTTTGCCAATGCACTGCAAAAATGATCTAGAAATAAGTAAAAATTTCTTAAATCAAGTGTATTTACCCTTAATTTGAGTAGGTAAATATGATGATTTGCCAATGAAATTAGTATCTTTACACTTAAAATAAGATAATAGATAATATGAACTTGAAATAGGACAATGCAATTGTTTTTTTCTTATTTTAAATGTAAATTGTTTTGTTCCATTGGCAAAGTGTTTCAATTTCGTCCTCAATTGGAGAAAAAATGCACTTATTTTAAGAATAAAATACTTACTTAGATTTCCATTTTTTTGCAGTGTGGAACAAGACAATTTAGATTTAGAAAAAAAAACAATGCAAGAATATGCAATTGTTTTTTTTAGAAAGATTGCATTGTGCATATTATCTCATTATCTTATTTTAAGAGTAAAAATCCTCATTCCATTGGCAAACTATCTCATTTAGCTACTCAAATTAAGGGTGAATACACTTAATTAAGGACATTTTTACCTTTTTCTAGATCGTTTTTCCAGTGCAGCGCAACAATGGAAAAAATCAAAATCTAGATAAGTCATTCTTTCTTAAAATAAGTGCATTTGTTCTTGGATTGAGAAGGTAAAAGAGACCTTTTGCCAACGGAAGAAGACAGTTTAGTCTTAGAATAAGAAAACACAAATGCATTGTCTTATTTCAAGTGCATATTATCTAATTATCTTATTTTAAGAGTAAAAATACTCATTCCATTGGCAAACTATCTCATTGATCTACTCAAATTAAGGGTAAATACACCTAATTTAAGACATTTTTATTTATTTCTGGATCGTTTTTCCAGTGCATCACTGGAAAGATTAGATTAGATAAGTCATCGTTTTCTTAAAATAAGTGTATTTGTTCTTGAATAGAGAAGATAAACGACATTTTGCCAATGAAACAAGACAATTTAGATTTAGAAAAAAACAATGCAAGACAACGCAATTGTTTTTTAGAAAGAAAAACAAGTGCGTTGTCTTATTACAAGTGCATATTATCTAATTATCTTATTTTAAGAGTAAAAATACTCATTCCGTTGGCAAACTATCTCATTTACCTACTCAAATTAAGGGTAAACACTTAATTTAAGACATTTTTAAAACTTTTTCTAGATCGTTTTTCCAGTGCAGCGCCAGACTGGAAAAAAATCAAAATCTAGAAAGTGTATTGAATTTATTTTGTTTTGCTTGTAATTTATTTGAGTTTGTTTCTTTCTCTCTTATCTGCACATATATGGAGGGTTACAGGAGATATTGTAAGATAAATAATTATATTATAAAATGTATTTTTAATTACCATAAATTTAATTTCAATATATAGTAATTTTATCATAAAATAAATACAATTACCATTAGCTGTTTTATTGAATAATCAAATTTACAATGAATGTACAAAGTAAATAAATATACCACTTTAAACTGAATATATATTCAATATACTGAATATATAAATAAATGGAACATTAACATTTAAATTATTTTTTTTTTTTCTTTGAATTTTTACGGAATTTAAATTGAAATAAGTTAATGTAACACTCAATACTTTCAGATATACATTTTTAAATACGACATTTAATAATTAAATGTCAGTTTTCAAATAATGAATTCATTTCAATATACATCATAAAAGAATTTAGAGGTAATTTTATTTTGTCGCTTCCAACCCTCCATACAATTCAACATGCTTTATGTAGATTTCCTGTACCTCCGCCATGCGCTGGTCTTCCTCCACGGGCACGAACTTGTCACACATGCCATGAACCAGCAGGATGGGCACTGTGAGCTCAGCGTGGTAGACCTCGTCCCCCTCAGGCCAGTACTGACCGCTCATCATGGCTCTCAGGACGAATGGAGACACATTGAAGGCGTTGCCCTGCTTCAGCAACTGCTTCTCTTTGGCACCTTGACGAGCAAATCCGGCTCTGAAGGTTTTGGTAACCAAAAATAAATAAAGTTGAAGATTGTTTTCATTTAGATAAGTCCTTAATTTCATGTTTTTATTTAAAGGAAAAGTCCGGTCATATTCAGAATTCAAACTTCTGAAAGTACTATAAAACTGAAATTATTACAAACTGTTCAAAAAATTATAAGTGTTTTTAATTCAGAGTAATTTTCATGTGAATGTGCTTTACTGGATGCATCCATGTTTGTCAAAGAACACTACTGCCACCTACTGGTTTGTGACGTCACGGTGCGGTATCGGCTGTTGATCAACAGGTGCGGAGCTAGATGGGGGGCCAGGGATGGCCATTGCCACCCCTAGCCAATCATTGGCCACCTATACTTCCCCCCCCCCCCCCCCCCCCCCCTGATACAGATGGTGGCAGCAGTAATACTCTCAAGTGGAATATAAAATATATATATATATATATATATATATATATATATATATATATATATATATATATATATATATATATATATATATATATATATATATATATATATATTTTAGGGATGCACGATATTGGGATTTTGGCCGATATCCGATATGCCGATATTTTAAAACTCCTGTAGCCGATAACCGATATCGATACCTATGTTAAAGCTGGACAAAAATAAGTAGTCATTGAAAATAGCAGTTTTGTTATCCATTTCTGACACTGTTTTCATATGCTGATATCAAATACATTTTTAAAAACGCAGTATCGATCTATTTTACTTTCAAAATCTCGTGAAATTTCATCGTTCTGTTACAAACTCTCGTGATATTTTGCAAATTCTTGTGAGATTTTGTTAGTAAAATAGATCGATACCGCGTCAATATATCAACATATAAAAATATGGCAACATTTGGTGAATTTTCGGGGGATTTCGTAGCATAACGATGACATATAGCAATATTTCATTAGTAAAAGAGATTGATATGGTGTTTTTAAATGGCAATATATCAGCATATGAAGATATTGGGATATTTTAATGGATCAATATTTTTTCCCTCGTCTTTAGAAGTTTTTAAGTCTGTAAAAAAGAAGTTTTTGAGGAAGAAGAAGAAGTAGTATTTATTTATTTTTTTTAGACTTTAGAAACTCAGAAGCTGATCAAATATCGGGTTAAATATCGGTGGGTTGGCCGATGTCCGATATTCAGTTTTAAGGCCGATACCGATAGGGGGCCGATTATATCACGCATCCCTAATATATATATATATATATATATATATATATATATAATTTTTTTTTTTTTGGTTAATTATACACATAAATGTACCAACATTAAAGATGAGAAGTACAGAATTCATGCTCTTTAGAACTAGATTCTGTGTTATATGGGGTAAACAATTTTAATAAAAACGTATCAAATAATCAATTTATGTATATATTAGTGCTTGTAAATATAAATTTTACACAGAATGTTTATAATAAAAGTAGGTGAGTAATTAAAATGCCTTCTATCTAGAAATTACAGATGTGTAAATATATGCGTCTATCTGTTAGCAAAGGCTGTAGGAAATGTATAGTTTGTCTTTATTTCAAAAATGTGGATGTTTTTCTAATTTATTTTCCTGTTGGAACAGTGTAGATTGACCCTGAGGTTCTGGTGCCTATCTGCTTTCTGCCATCCCTCAGTTTACATTGGTTATTGCCTGGCCACCCTTATAAAAAACTTCTGGCTACACCCCTGTTGATCGAGTCCCAGTGCTGTATCTGGTGTTTGTCACAACGCGCTATTATCCAAGTCATCTTGAAAACATTCTTCTTCCAAATGTTGGCTACATATTACGTGTTTTTTCTCTGGCCAGAAGTTCAATGGCAAATCCTCCCTCTTCAAGTTGGCGATCCAAAGACCAACCCGTCCGTGGACGATCAGGAATCAGAAAGGTGAAATAACTCTTTTTTTTTTCACTTTCACCCGATGTATTCCAGCATCCAGCTGCCATGCACGTGGGCATTGTCAGTTTCACTATAGCTCTGGTGAATTTCAATGGTGAAGTCCTCTGGAAATCTTCAATAATTGTTGTTGATTGCAGATGTGTCTAGTAGTTTCCATTAATTTTGCTTGTAAAGCGGGGAGAATGGCGCTAGGCTTACCGCACCGTGACCTTGACACTGTCATTATCATGTCTTTTAAGTCATAGGGAAATAATATTTAAATGTGACATCGTTCTGGCTCAAAAATGTATATAAATGTACATTTTGTCAGACCATATTGTCCAAAATTTTGAAAATTTCTATTTAAAGCTACAGTGTGTAATTTTCAGCGACATCCAACGTCCAGACTGCAGACCGCAGCAACATGAACATCTCCCCCCCCAACAGTACGGCGAGCGTTGATGGTGATGAGGTTTGTTTACATAGATAATTTTACAGATAATATTTCATTAGTCTGTGTAGGGTGTAGATTTCATGTAGACTTAAACAACTTGCCGTAGTTATTTTCGAGCATAATGGGCTATCTCGCAATCGCTAGTTTGTTGGCTCTGCGCTGCCGTAGCGCAAAGATGTCTGCCTCCATGGCTGCGAGACCCGCTCCTATGTAATTATAAATAACGAATTCTAAGGCAACGCAAATATTAAGGTTAAGAGGCTGAGCTCGTAGATGATGATAAATAACATAGTTATGTATAATATATTACATTTCTGACTGTATATCCCTGTAATTATTACACACTGTAGCTTTAAAAAAAGAATCCTGTCTTAAAATGTGTGTCTTTTTCCGTTATCTTATTCAGGCCAGTTAGTTCTACGTCAGCATGAACACCTAAATTCAGCCAATCATATATCAACGGTCGTCTGTCAATCAAATTTTTTCAGTCATAGCATCTTGATTCATGTGTCGCAGCTAATATACGCAACAGTTGAAATCAGAATCCTTTCCTTTCCCATTGAGTTGCGTCCCAGTGTTCACGGGGATGGACGTCTGTGTCTTCAGCAGGCGTAGAGCTAACAGAACTGGCAGCGTTGCGAGGCAAGGGCTCAAACATGTACGGCTTCCTTTTATTCACTCTTGTAAAGTCTGGCACCACTCCAGAGAATTCTGAAATGCAACGGTTGGAACAGCTGTTTCCCTACGACTTTAAACAGTGGTTGTTGATTGCAGATGTGTCTAGTAGTTCCCGTTGATTTAGCTTGTAAAGCGGGGAGAATGGCGCTAGGCTTACCGCACCGTGACGTCACTGCTGGAAGATGGCAGGAGGGAGGGGTTACTATATTTGGGCAAAAATGGCCGCTCCCAGACTTTAATTTTTTTTTAGTAATTAACGCTAAATTCATTAAATCACCTTGAACGTATGACTTTTAGGGATATAAATGATCCATTGGTAATTCCTTGCTGTACGGACTTTTCCTTTAAACACTGTCAACATTCTGCAACATAAAACTTTAGATTCATACTTTAAAAAGCTCCAGGCCAGACAAGGGGATAGGCAGTGAAGGACACATGATGGGAGCTGGAAGATAGAACAGAGACTTGGCTCTAGAGCAGTAGGCCCTCCTCCATTGATCATCACTACCTTATGGACCAGATCAGGGTATTCATGTGCCAGGAATGTACAAAATGATACTCTGGAAGAGACGTAAGGACATAATTAAAGCGCGGCATAAACATATCAATTGCAGAAATCCTATTTTCCTCCCCAAATACTCACCCATACGAGTGGCCGATGAGAATGTTGCGTTTCCGAGCATATCTCTTAAAGATGGCCCGGAGGTCCTCTGCCAAAGCGTAGAAGGTGTAAGCTGCCGCGATCTGCGGAGCGGTGCTGGCCCCGTGCCCTGCCAGGTCTGGCGCGATGACCTCATAACCCAAACGTGAGAAGAAGTTCAGCTGGCTGCTCCAGATGTCCAGAGAGCCTCCCACGCCGTGCACAAAGAAAAGCGCCACGTCCGAATGTGTCCCTTTGCAACTCGAGATCACCCTCGTGGAGTCGATGAGCACAGTACGTTTTGGTTTGCGGCGGCGACGGCGGGGTGGAGGTGCGGGTTTCTGGTCCCCGGAGGGCAGTGGGACCGTGGGAACCGGGTTTGGATCTGGAGATGAGGGCGTCTCTTTGTAATCAGCCAGTTCCACCTCCACGGTGCTGCAGGGCTCCAGATCGCCATCCTGGCACTGCAGAATCTCAGAGTGCAACACATCACCGAGGTTCTCAATCACCAACTGGCCGTTGCGATAAACTGTGATCTTCCTCTTACAGTGGACACTGGTGCCAGCATCATCATCATCATTATCCCTGGAGTCCTCGGGCGGGGCATCACCTTTTGCATCACAGTCAACATTCTTTGTGTTTTTCTCTGCATCTTGTTTCTTTGTTTCTATGCACTGGCGCACTGGTTTGATGTGCCGCACTCGTAGGACCCTCCCTGGCTTTACCTCCACAAACTCGAAACCGTCTGAAGGCTCTGAGGACTCCAGAGGCAAGACCAGATTGCTGGTTTTGCCCGAAAGGCAGCACAGTATCCCGTCAGTTATGCTGGTCAGCATGGTGCTTTTTCTGCTTTGAGAAAACAACAAAGATAAAAAAAAAAAAAACAAAGCTGAATGTTGTGAAGACTGTCATCATCTGCAATTCTTTTGCACTGAAATAAATTTAATCTCAATAGGTCAGTTTTTTTCTTAAAATAAGTGGATTATTTCTTGAATTTAGGAGGTAAGTGAGGCACTTTGCCAATGGAATAAGGCAATTTAAAATTAACATAAGTAAAAGTAACTGCATTGTCTTATTTCAATTTCACAATATCAAATTTTCTTATTTGAAGAATAAAAATACTAATTCCATTGGCAGATCTGATTTACCAACTCAAATTAAGGCTAAATACACTTAATTTAAGAATTTTTTTACTTCTTTCTAGATCATTTTTGCAGTGTGTGTTCTGGGTAAGTTTTTATTTCGTGTTCTCGGTTATGCTTTATTTTATGTTATTCTGTATTGTCAAGATTTATATCATTTTTGAATTTTTTGTTTTACTCTTCTTAGTTATCTTTTATCAGCATTTTTGCTATTATTTATTCCTTGGTCTAGTTTTAGTTAGTTTTTTTCATTCTCTTATCCTTATTATTTCCATGGCTTCAGTTATCTCTTATCCTCTCTAGTTTTCCCCTTGGTTATTCCTCATTTTGCAGTCATTTTGTAGTTTTATTCCCCTTTAGCCTTATTTAAAGGTATTGTGGAGGATTGTTTAAAAGATCTGCCCTCTCTGTTGGGTACGGTTACTCTTTGTTGCCCCCTAGTGGCTCTTTCCTTTCCCTTTAGCTCCCTTCTAGCTGTTTCTGTCCACACCTGCTCCAAATTAACTAATATATACTCCTCCTCTGCTGTTCCTCAGTGCTGGGTTATCTTTATTTCTTCTTCTGTGTTTCTCCTGAGCTTCTTTAGGGTTTGGTTCCCAGCCTGTTATTTCTGGATGTATGATTTTGTACCATCTAGTTCACCATTAAAACTGCAAGAACCGTCTCGGCCTCCTCTACTCTGCATTTGGGTTCACAACAACATCCACCAACCCTGGCAGAGACAAATTAAGGGATTAAAAGTGTATGAATCAAAAAGGAAGTTAAAGGTGATAATTACAGGTTTAACTCCTTCCAACCAGCAAGTAGCGCACTCACTATCACCAGATCCGTTTCTGTACGGTTGGCCAACCAGTGGTGAGGCTCACTAGTGCTAACCAAACGATCCTTTTAGTAGTTCAGGAGAAAGGTAGCAACATCCGCGTGCCTTCTGAATCCCTTTGCTTCTCTAAATCTAAACTGATATCACCCCGACTGGTCTAATGTCGCCTCTAAAAGGTTAACCTTCTCAGTCTGCCAATTTATCTGGAAATCGGTTGAAAGTTCACTGGATTCAGAGTGTCTAAAACCATAAAGTATCAGTTGACTCAATTGTTTATCTCTGTATTATCTCAGATTATTTCGCAGCTGCAATTGTTCCCAGTCATTGTATATCTGTTTATATTAGACTTCAAACCAAACTACTTTAAATATAAAAAACTGTTTTGTATAAAAACTAATTAACAAAAAAATTCAATTGAAGTATTAATATTTAAGTCCCTCCCAAAATGACTGCAACTTTTATATATTCTGCTACATTTAAATATCAATTACTGTAAAAATGTCCATAGCTGTATATTGGTTATTTATTCACCAGGTGCACAGTTTTTATAGTTTTAAAACATTTTACAGTACAGTATTTTATTTGTTTATATTTTAAGTCTTCACTATTATGTTATTCTTATACATTTTTCTAAGGTCCACCTTTTTGTGACCATTTTTTCTATTATCTTTTTGATGCTGTAAACACCAGAATTTCCCCTTTGTGGGACAATAAAGGGATTTTCTATTCTATTCTATTCTTCTCTATAGAAGCTCACGTCTCATAACAGACTCACCTCTGTGTGGAAACAACAATCCAAGGTCCACAGAAACCAATAAGGAACACTTCTGCTGTACTGGGGTTTGAGTGTGGGACCAGACTAAGATGTTCTCTAATAATAAATCCCTTTTTTCCCCCACATGACCGGAGTCAGAATACAAATAGCAAACACTGGTAATCAAGACTGTGAACTCCATGTCTCATAACAGACTGAAGGAAGTTTGCAACTATTTTGGTTTCCACTGCAGACTAAAACAAGAGGAATCTTAGTCTAATGCAACGTTCAGACTGCAAGAAGGCAGCAGAAGCAGCTAGTTTAGTTAATGGTTGACATGCATCAAGGCGCAGCAACAGGTTGCTTGGAAAAATGTTGCTTTAACTGTCATGATCTGGCCTGTTTGCTCTTCCTTTATTGGTTATTTCTTTCACCTGTCCTTTTCCCTCCCTGCTTTAATTATCATTTATTCCTCTCACCTGTTTCCTTTGGTTTATATTCTGTTCAGCCTAAGCATTCAGCGGCAGATCATTAGATGTTGTTTTCTGTTCGGTTCTGTCTGTTTCTAAGGTTCTTGTCCTGGATCCTGGCAGCCAGTGGAAAGAGGGTTTTGTGTCTGTCTCGTCTCCTGCCTGTCCACTGTTCCTCCCCTGCTGAGTCCTCTGGGTTTTTGGCTCTGTACGCAGGGAGGATCAGTTTTTATCCCAGTAAGCCTGGCTCCAAGGTGGAGACCAGTTTAAAGGTCCTGCATCCAGTTCTGGTTCCACGTTCTGTCTCGGCTACCCTGTCACGGGATTCCCAGTGACAGCGCACCGCTGGTGTACGGGGGTCTGAGCTGCTCTGACAGTAAAATAATATTTGAAGGCAGGATGGTTATCTGGATGAACTGATTGCACAAATTAAGTTTTCAGGTGGACTTTCTCACTTAAAGGCACATTATGCAACATTTTTCAGTTAATTAATGTGTTCCATAACGTTTTGGATGATTAAATGAGTCATTTCAGGTTGAACAAAGGTATTCTCAGCCGCCCTGGTGGTCTGTGGGGGAAATACTGCACTGGCAGTTGCAGGCCCGCACCCACAGGCTCAGAAGTCTCGCGAGAGTCGGTCTTGCTTTACGGCGAGAACTGCTACACGCCCCCAGTTAAAAGCATGCTCGTTGCTAGCGCAGTGGCGATCTTTGTGCAGTTATCATGGCGGAACCACGTGAAAACAGCGAAAGCCCATGTCGGAGCAGGCAAGATAGAGGAAAAGGGCTCCGGACAGAGAGAGGAGTCGTACACGGGTGAACATCGGGCAAGCTTTTTCCGAATGGCGAGAGCTAAAATAAAAAGAAGGCTGCAAGGCTGACGCAGACCTCGCGTTTCTGCTGATGCGATTGTAAGTAACATTGGAATGGTTTCTCTCTCTCTCTGTGTGCATGTTAATACTTTCACTGTGTTAGTCATTCGTTGCGTTCGCCTGTCTGCTAAGCTCAAACCAACCGCGCCTGGCTTGACGGAGAAACCAGGAGAACAGCTGTGCATATTTACGACAGTGCACTTTTACTTTCGCCCTCTGGGGGGAGCCTCGCTGGAAAATCAACACCGGTTGCATAGTACACCTTTAAAACATTCAAACTACTTTTTACCCACTGATCACAGCAAATATAGCTGCTATTGTTCCAGGGAAAGAAAGGATAGGGTAGCTCCGCCCAACGCGCATCAGACCCACTTTTTGACCAAACAGCTAGAGACACAAAGATGCTTCAGCCGTGCGTCAGAACTAAACTTGTACCATCATCCAAAATGAAGCAGCACGCGTGTTTTTGATGCTCCTGCTGGTTGAGGTCTGACCGTAGCATTAGGCTGAATCCAAAACCGCCCCTAAGCAATACCCCTTCTCTATCGAGTGTCACTCCCAATGAAGTCCCACTCTCAGCTGTAGAGGGCGCCTCGAATGAAGGTGGGGATATAAATCAGAATGGGACGGCCTTTTCCCTCCAATGGAAAAAGAAAGCAGTCATTGCTATAGCAACACAGCGATGCCCCATGTGCATTGCTGTAGTTTTGTGGCACAAGTTGACATGACATTTGTCCCTTTCTAAAAAATAATGTTTGTACAGTCAAATAAAACTATTTTGAAAAGGACATACAGCTTCCCTTTTGGAACTTATGACGAATTTTTTATTTTTCTTTACTTGTGATTTTCTGTCTTTGTGACGAAAACGAAGCACACCAGCAGAACATACATTTGATTGAATGGTCCAAACCCAAACGGTCCTAAAAACTAAACCTGAACACTAACCCTACGTTTGCTTGTTCCTGTGGAGGGTCCACCACATTAAGTGTCGTCCAAATCCACATAGTAAGTAGGGTGAGTGGACCATCCATCCCTTAAATAGCGTCTGAATCAGTGTAGGCTCGCTGGAATTTACCAGCGGTGGTAACGGTGACCTAATGGCAGAGGAAACATGTTCCGCCAAATGTAAGTTCCGCTGGTTTGCTGCATCTTTATCACACTGACAGGAAATCACGAGTTAGTTTATCAAAGAACATAATTAATTCTAAAAGGGAAGGTCCTGATCCATCAAGGAACCTTCCTCAGCTGCGAGTGTGACTTCATTGGGAGTGAGGCTTGATAGTTAAGGGTTAGTGCTTAGTGGGTGGTTCGGGATTCAGCCAATGTGTTTAATCCGCCACTTGTTCGCCGTTACACCCGCCGCCAAATTCCAATGAGCCTGCACTGATCAAGACTCACTATTTAAGGGCGTAACATTGCAGTTGGCCTAGCCACCACGTGGTTACGGATGGCCCTTAATGTGGCGGACCCTCCAAGGGAACAAGCAAATGGAGGATTAATGCGCAGAGGAAGAGTTTAGGTGTCGGTTTGGGATTAAGCCTTAGTGTTAATGCTACAGTAATGTCCAAAGGAGCAATAGAAATGCATGTTCGCTCATCACTCCAGAAGAAAGCCCGCCCCCTGAAGTGAAGGGGAAGTTGACTGGAAAACGCAATACGAAAAGAAGGAAATTTGAAAATCAGAAATATAAAAACAAAAAGATTGTAAAGCAATTTAACTAATGTATTTAAAATATGAAAAGAAAAAAAATAACAGAAGAAAACATTACCATTATCTAATATTAAGTGAATAAAGTCTATTTACCTTCTTTTAAAGGTGAAAATGATCGAAACCGAGAGCGGTCGTACTCGAGATAATGACATAACTATCTCTTTATCACGGTTAAGCCATGAATTGTTTTCTCGAGATAACAAGATAATTATTTCATTATCTCGAGATAACAGTTATTGATTTCTTATGATAACGGGATGATTAACCTGTCAGAGTAATGAATGAGGCTGGCCAACAGCCCTGGATTCCCAGTCCATTCATACCTGCCCCTGCCTCTATTTACTGTACTTGCATCCAGCTATCAGGGTCAGATTATCTTGTTCTGGTTCTCGGGGGCCAGTGGAGAGAGGGCTTTTAGCGTACCATAGTGTTTCTGATTTCCTGATCCTGGCCTGTTATTCCTCTAATCCACTGAGCACTCCTGTTCCTGTCTGAACGTTCTTCCTGAACTGTCTGAGGACTCCTGGAACCCTGAACCAGCCTGTTTCTGTTCTGATTGGAATCGCTGACCAGGCTGCGGACTCCTAGACCTCTGAGCCTTCTTGTTCTGATCTGTTTCCCTGACTTGGCTCGGACTATTGCGTGTTCCCAGAGGCTTCAGCTCTGGGAATCAATCGCCGCATCTCGTTTGCAAGCTGCCGACTAGATCCTACCTCGTTCTCTGGAGAGGGACTGAACTGTTAAACCAGGTTAGTGACTCGCATTAGTTATCATCCTCCATCAGATTATCATGGTCACTAATCTGTGCTTTTCTCCAACAGAGTTTCCAGTCATAGACGCTCTAGCCATCCCAATGCACTGGAAAAAAATCGAAATCTAGATAGGTCGTTTTTTTCTTAAAATAAGTGCATTTGTTCTTGGATTAAGGAAGTAAAGGTGACATCTTGACAATGGAACAAGACAATTTACACTTAAAATAAGAAAACACAATTGCATTGTCTTATTTTAAGTGCATATTATCTAATTATCTTATTTTAAGAGTAAAATTTCCATTCTATTGGCAAACTATCTCATTTACCTACTCAAATTAAGGGTAAATACACTTAATTTCAGAAACTTTTACTTATTTCTAGATTGTTTTTCCAGTGTGTCTGTCTCGCCTTGAATACTGGCTCCTTCTGTGCTGAATCATGACATTTTACTTTTTTCCCTCTTCAGTAAAACCACTACTTTTATTCTGCAAAACTCAATACACTGCAAAAATGATCTCAAAATGAAATTTGAGAAGGTAAATAAGATAGTTTGCCAATGGAATCAGTATTTTTACACTTAAAATATGTTAATTAGATAACATGCATTTGAAAAAAGACAATGCAATTGATTTTTTTTATTTGAAATGTACATTTTCTTGTTCCATTGGCAAACTGTCTCATTTATCTCCTCAATTCAGGATAAAATGCACTTATTTTAAGAAAAAATGACTTACATAGATTTACATTTTTGCAGTGTGTAAATGTAAATTGTTTTGTTCCATTGGCAAAGTTTCACACAAAAAAATGCACTTATTTTAATAAAAAATTACCTATCGAGATTTCCATTTTTTCTAGTGTAAGCAGGTGCAAAGATCTGCCAATTGAGTAAGTTTGTCAATAAAAAAAGAGACTTACTATGCAATTGAAATAAGAAAATTGTTTTAAACAAATCTCGCTCCCTCTGCAAATTGTGTTACTTGCTCAAATCAAGAGGAAATTCATTTATTTCAAGAAAAAATGGCTGACATATATTTCACTATTTGCAGTGCATAGTATCTGAATAGAAGTATAAACAAAAACAAAGCCACAGTTATGCAGGATCTTGTCAACAAATGTCTGCAGTGCGCGGAGGGACATCTATGTGTCGTGCGTCTGCATAATGACTAGCTACGTTTACATTCGCAAAATTTCCCCGATCCGATCCAAACCTTGGTTGATCGGAAATTCAAAATCTCCGTTTACATGGACACTAAATGAAATGATCCGATCATGACGTGTGTATACATGTATCAAGCGTTGGATCAGATTAAATCTTTTAAGCATGCGCAGAACTTCCTGCCAAACTTGGCAGTTCTGTCTGCGTCTGGTTTTTGGGAGGCCTGACAAACGAAGCGCTCGGAGCGAGCGGAAAGAAAAAAGGAGAGAGGAGGAAAAAAGCGCTTGGCAGCGAAATGTCCGAGAGAAAATGTAGAGAATGAGCGATTGAACCGGCGTGGGAGAGCGAGTGGGCTGTGGAGAGGAAGAAGAGGAAGAGGAGGAGGATAAATTCCTGCTTCCTGCAGCTTTAAATTAACTTATAAGTCGGCGTTCCTAGACTCCCCCCGCCATGTTGTTCACAGCGAGAGAGACCGGTGATTTCCTGTTGTTGACAAGGCGGAAAACGTCACTCTGACGTCGCACACATGCGCAGTGAAGATTATTTTACTCTTTAGATCCGAATGGGTGTTTACATGGACGCCAATCGGAATGGCGATCGGCAAAAACCACCTCTCTCATTGGGAATTAAATTTAGATCCGATCGGACCGAATCGGATTAGAATCTTCAGTCTGACATGTTTACATGAAACATTTTTGATCTGATCAGGCCTTCAATCCGATTAGTTGTGTCCATGTAAACGTAGCCACTGTTGGTGCAGTAAACACAGCAGACGCGCTGACATGGAAATCGGTGGATTCTCCTCTTGACCTTCTCCTCCACATCTAGATCTGCATGTTCCTGCAGTTCTGGTTGTTTTTAACAAACCCCTGAACAGCGCAGGCTCCGGAACCCTATCGCCATTTCTGTAACACTAACACACATTTTGCGCACTATGCGCTTTGGTCCGGGCATCTCTGCGCCTGTGTGCGTGGGCTCAGCTGTGCACGTGCGTGTCCTATTTTCCATTTTAACCTCCTTTCTGATTTATAACAGGAGTTTAACATCAGATATTCAGCTAAATATATAGAAAACAACTATATTAAGTATTTAAATATGAGTTTTGATGATTTTATTTTTGCATCGACAGTTTGCAGATATTATTGATTTAAGGATCATTTTGCGCAAACGCACAACAAAAGATGGGAATGCATCCATGCAGTTCACAGTGAATCCTTTTCTAAATGATATTAAAAAGCTTTCTTACCTGCAGAATTGCTGCTGATTTGGAGCGAAACCTGTGAAATGTCACCGCGGCTGATCCGTCTGCGCCAGAGATGCTGCAGATGCAGAACACTGAGTGCTATTCTCCCTCATTAGACCGCCATCGTTGGCTGCTACACACACGGACCTGAAAAGGAAACCAAGCGTGCATCCGTCCAATTGTACCAGTTGCATTCAAATAAGACAGCCATAGCGATAAGGAAGATCCGTGTTTTGCTCGCCCCCCCTCCCCTCAGCATCCACTGCGTTCTAAGGGCCAAACCCTACCCAGCCCTGCTGTGTTTTGGAGATCTCTCTCCCCCTCCCCTCCCACAGTCGTTGCAGAGAGGAGGTGGGGAGGGCTAATGGCAGACAGCTGATGAGAAGCCAATGGGAGAAGGATGCTCTCCTTGTTGCTAAGGCTGACTGAACAACAGGATGCTTGTAGTAAGAGGCGCAGTCTGCAAGGATGGACCATTTGGCACCATTTGGAGGAGAATGCATGATCATACATCAGTCATGCATGATTCTGTTTCTAAATCTGCAGCCGATATCCCCCATAAGTGCGTCATAATGTTACACATGAAGCCATCCTTGCAGCTGCTGAATTACAGAAGACTTTATCACCTCCATGGGCGACTCTAGATGGTGGCCAACTGGGGACAGTGCCCTTTAAAATTCAACTGAAAACATTTTATTAAATAGATTCATTTTCATGAAATGTACTGACTCACATGTAACGAATTTCAGCAAAAATAAAGAAAGATTTTGCCCTTTTATTTTTTATTGTTTTACAGTTTATTTACTTATTTGTGTAAAAACTATTACTGTATTTTAATTAAACTAAAATAACGGTAAATTACTATTGCAACAGCATTTTGCCATTATTTTATGTCATATGTAATTAATTGTACCCAGGGCAACAACTAAGAAATATTTGACTAATTGAATAATGTTATGTTCCCACTTTGAGCTTCAAAAAAGCTTCTGCTGTTCACTTTTGATGCTTGTTCACATTAAGGTCAGACCAGTGGCACGGGAAGGGGGGTGCTGCGGGGGCTGCAGCCTCCCTCGTCATAGCATCACCCCCCATGGTGGGGGCTGTGGAGTAACATAATATTGTACTTAAAAACATTACATTATTTATGTATTTATTTTTTAAAAGACTGTGTTTGATATAAACTAATGATTCATTATTTTAATATTTCATAAAAAACTAGGCTACTCCCCCGGAAGCTTCCGCCACCTCACATTCGTTTAGGCATGGCTAGCAATAGACAGCAGAAAAGTATTTCTGACTATTCTGAGGTAAGAAATGGTTTTAATTCCCCTATACTGCCGCCAAGCATTTATTTAACGGTATTTATTTCTTATTTCTATATGCTGTGCCTATTCGTCACTGAAGAAGTCTACGCTAGAATAAGGCTGCATATCACTAAATATTATGTCCGTATTAAGCTATTTACTGATAAAATAATAAATTAGTTAATTTTTTTTTTTCAGATAAGAAATCATTCCCCATATCCATAGTCAAATGGACTTTCAAGACGTTCAATGCTCAGTTTCGGCTATATTTAGGCCATGTTTCATTCAAGTATTCCTTATCCTGTTGATTGGGAGCTGTTGTTTGTTTTGAATGATTAAAAGAGAAGAAATAAAGTTTAAAATGTTCATGCTTTGTTCCGATGCATTTTAAATGGCAGTTTTTGGCGACAAATGTAGGCCTACAATATTATGTTAAAAACGTCAGCCACAGCCCTCAACATAAGGACGTTACGTGTTTTCCAACCCAGCCATCAGCCCCCCTCGCTTGAAACAGCTTCCAGCGCGCCTGGGTCAGACATCCAGTAAAGTGTGTCCAGATGCGTCTGATGCCTCTGCTGCTCCTGTGTTCAATGGCATAAATCCACCTCAAAACTGTCTTTGCAGTTCGTTCATCAAGATTAAGATCCTGCCTTCAAATATGATTTCACTGTCTGCTGTTTTCCCCTACTGTTGGTGGCGACTGGAAGTAGATGTTAGCGTTTTTCAGGTATATGGTACAAACTGCAGGCACCATTATAATAATAATGGTGCAGCAGGTTTCTACATTTTAAGTTGAATCAGTAAAATATATTTTTTTTAAAGTCTGGGAGCGGCCATTTTTGCCCAAATATAGTAGCCCCTCCCTCCTGCCATCTTCCAGCAGTGACGTCACGGTGCGGTAAGCCTAGCGCCATTCTCCCCGCTTTACAAGCTAAATCAATGGGAACTACTAGACACATCTGCAATCAACAACAATTATTGAAGATTTCCAGAGGACTTCACCATTGAAATTCACCAGAGCTATAGTGAAACTGACAATGCCCACGTGCATGGCAGCTGGATGTTGGAATACATCGGGTAAAAGTGAAAATAAATTTCCTTTCCGATTCGTGATCGTCCACGGACGGGTTGGTTGTTGGATCGCCAACTTGAAGAGGGAGGATTTGCCATCGAACTTCTGGCCAGAGAAAAAACCCGTAATATGTAGCCAACATTTGGAAGAAGAATGTTTTCAAGATGACTTGGATAATAGCGCGTTGTGACAAACACCAGATACAGTGGGACTTGATCAACAGCCGATACCGCACCATGACGTCACAAACCAGTAGGTGGCAGTAGTGTTCTTTCACAAACCTCCAGTAAAGCATATTCAGATGAAAATTACTCTTAATTTATTGAACAGTATGGAATAATTTCATATAGAGCTGGGCGATATGGCGATATATATCGTGAGGACGAGAGAAGCATGTCTATCGTGACCTTTCTCCTCTATTTTTTCTATCGTGATAAACTTTTTTATTATTATTATTACTGCTAATATACATTTTAATATAATTTGTTAATATAACATTTTGCGTTTTTGCTATGCAAACTCTAAGTGTATATAACGAAAAAAAAGAGAATAAAAAGATAATGTGTAGAGAACGTGGTTTTGCGACACTACACCGCTTTACGTCACGCGGCTTTGCACCATACGTTTGCGACATTACTGACGGAGAGAGCCCGCGAAATTTCTTTCTGGCTTGAAAAAAAATGAATGATGGACACCCAAGAAGATGTTACCACAGCAGCGGTTACAGAGTCCGAAACGGTTGCCAGGTCACAGACACAACAAACACCACTTTTGCCCAAAAGGGGAGGCAGCTCGGTTGTTTGGTTATATTTCGGATTTCAGCCATCTGATAAAGAACAAACGCAGCCGATATGTAAACTGTGCAGCAAAGCCGTTCCAGCGGCTGATGCAAATACTTCCGGCCTCTTTTACCACCTGAAGAAAAATCATGAACAAGAACACGGGAAACTACAACCACTCCGATCAAAACAAACAAGGGATGAAAATACAGGAAGCACTGGAAAGAAATTCTCACAGCCGAAGCTTAAGGAAGCATTCGCCCAAGGATCACAATATGAGAAGACGTCTCAGCGACACAAGCAGATCACAGGTGCTATTTCAAGCTATATCTGTGAAGGCATGGCCCCCGTTTACATAGTCGAGAAAGACAGCTTTCGGGACCTCGTCCGTACACTCGATCCCAGATATGTGATGCCTAGTCGAAAACATTTCAGTAAAGTGGAGCTGCCTGGCTTATATGCTAGTTGTCGGGCTGAAGTGGAGAGAGAGGTACGCAGTGGTGCGACACATTATGCGTTGACTACGGACATGTGGATACACTGACTACACTGACACTCCTATCCAGTAGAACATATGGGCATTTTAATTAATGTAGTTATTACCAGTGCAGACACATTTCTTCTTAAATAGGCGAGGCGCCTCCTAGTGGAAAACAAGGTAAGTGAAAGACAAGAGAAAAACCTGGCCTTGGAATTTTATAAAATGTCAATAACAAACGAATATTAAATGATTAATTACTGCAGCGCAATAGCCAAGATTCTATACTGTTCACTGTCATGGCCGCAAATTGCATAACTGGTGTTCTTGGTTTGGGGTTGGGATTCTCATATTAGGAAACAAGATGATGGGTAAAAAATAGGCGATGAAAGATTTTTTTCAACCCTGTCCATCTGACGGACTATGAAAACATAAAATGCAACATCAGTTGTGGTATATCGTGATATATATCGTTATCGTGATATAAAATAATCCATATCGTGATATAGTTTTTTTTCCATATCGCCCAGCCCTAATTTCATATTTAAAGCACTTTCACAAGTTTGAATTCTGAATATGAGCGAACTTTTCCTTTAAGTCTTTTCTGAAGCATTACTCTGATCTTCTAAATGTCTAAATGAGTAACAAATATTGTGATGTAGAGGATATTCAGCTATGTTTAATAGGTATGGTATGCTTTTAATTAAGGGTCATTTATTATTTGTGGCTCTACGCCTGTTGTGTTTAGTTGGGTTCGGTATAAAATGCCCTGTGATGGACCTTTCTAGGGTGGACCCCGCCAAACCGCCGGAGAAAGGCACCAGCCCCACCGCTCCCGTGACGTAATAAGAGGGAGAATATAGACGGATGGATGGATGGTATAAAATGGCTCTTTGGATCTTAGAAACTGCAAACCCTGCTTTAGATCAACCAAGGCTAGTGTTAGTGCAGGGTGGCTGCTGCACCGTTTCAAGTTGTGTACAAACCCCGCTCCCCGCACGCACCGGTCTTTTCTCCGTAAGAGAAATGGAGCGCACCCTCAAAGTTGACGCAGGAAGAAGCCTTCCTATTGGCTACAGTCTCAGCCAATCGACTTTGTTTACACTGTAGCGCTAGGCTATCTTTGACATTCACTGTTCACATGTAGATTTTAACCTGTATTTACTGATAAAAAGAAGCTCAGAATGAACATTATTCTGTCGTCTGTTTCCAGACTGCGTGGATTAACCCACCTGCGGAGGTAAGGTAGTTTGCTGTGACATAACCACGGGAATGAATCCTGTTTCAGCCTGGAGCTAAGTTCAGATGCTAACGGCTAAATATCGATATGCTAGGGTCATGTTAGCTGTATGAACCGCTTCTGTAAGCTCACGGTGACCCGCAAACACGAAGAAAATAACACAGATTTTTATGCTGTGCTCTTCTTAAAAGTATTATTTTGTAAATTTGCAGTTGTCTTTATATACACTGTTTATTGAATTAATAAAACTGAATACATTTAGTCGCTGGAGGCAAGTATAGTATTTATGTCTGGACCCAAGCCTGCATTTAAGCCTAGCGCCATTCTCCCCGCTTTACAAGCTAAATCAATGGGAACTACTAGACACATCTGCAATCAACAACAATTATTGAAGATTTCCAGAGGACTTAACCATTGAAATTCACCAGAGCTATAGTGAAACTGACAATGCCCACATGCATGGCAGTTGGATGTTTGGATGTATCTCTGCTTCTGTCTCCTTGAACCCCAGTGGGCCTCAGCAGATGGCCGCTCACGCTGAGCCTGGTTCTGCTGGAGGTTTCTTCCTGTTCAAAGGGGGTTTTTCCTCTCCACTGTCGCTATAAGCATGCTTAGTGTGAGGGATATCTGAAGAGTCAATGAGTCGATGCAATCAGCTGGTTTTCTTTAGATAGAAAACTTTGAATCAATCTGACTGGATGATCTGGTTGAACTGGAAAGTGACATGAGATGAAATGATGTGAATTGGAGCTATAGAAATAAACTGAATTGAACTGGATGCTGGAATACATCGGGTAAAAGTGGGGGGGAAAAAAGAGTTATTCCACCTTTCTGATTCCTGATCCTCCACGGACGGGTTGGTCGTTGGATCGCCAACTTGAAGAAGGAGGATTTGTCATCGAACTTCTGGCCAGAGAAAAAACCCGTAATATGTAGCCAACATTTGGAAGAAGAATGTTTTCAAGATGACTTGGATAATAGCGCGTTATGACAAACACCAGATACAGCACTGGGACTTGATCAACAGCCGATACCGCACCGTGATGTCACAACCCAGTAGGTTTGTGACAGGCTGCTGTTTACCGCCCGCCCAAAAAAAAAAGAAAGAAAAAGAAATAAAGAAGGTTTGCAGATTGAGCGTCATGTCTTCTAGGAAGTGTGTTGGTGGGCGTGAACGCAGGAAGGATCGCACTCACCTTCTGGCTCACCCTATGATGGGGATGAAGTCTGGAGGAGAACTGACGGTTTCCTCCTGTGAACCCCCTTTATACCAAAACGCTGCCAATACGCCCTTATACAGTAGCTGGAAGATAGAAACACGTTCAGCGCTCGTCTGGGACACGTTAAATACGTTCATATGTAGGGATGGGAATCGAAAACCGGTTCCTGTTCAGAACCGGTTCCGTATTTTCCGATTCCATGGCATCGTTTGGCAGCTCGCTGAACGATTCTTTTTTCGATTCCCGCAGCACCAGAGCCTAGAGCGCCGGCTCTGGGGAGCACGACTTACGTCACGTTTTTTACGTAAGTTACGCAAGTTGGAAGAACTATTCGAGGAGGAAGACAGCGAGCTGCGGTCACTTTGTGAATCAAAGCCCCGTCTTTCCTTAGCCCAGAGGGTAGATCAGGAAATCCAGCTCTGTAAAAGATTGCCCTCCATCCCCTGCAGGGATAGCGCCACACTGTGGTGGTGGAACAAGCAAGATACGCTGCCCTTGCTATCTGGACTGGCTGAAAACTACCCCTGTGTGCAGGCTTCCTCCACCCCATCTGAGAGGTTATTTTCCACGGCTGGAGACACCTTAAGCCCTGAAAGATCCCGTATCCTTCCAGAAAAAGCAGATATGCTCATCTTTCTGCAAAACAACTGTTAATTTTCCCTACTACTGTTTTATAATTAGTATTTTTTGTTATTTAAAATAGGTTATTAACCCATCATTTGTTATTAGACATTGTTGGTTATTAAGTTTGTTCTTGTATTCATTTTTCATTTAAACACAGATGTTACTCCAGTTTCACATTTCCTGTGGACATCTTGATCTTGTTGAGTTTGTAAGATTGTGCAATAGTTAAGTAAACAAAGTTGATTCTGATAATCAAACTGTTTGTTCTCCTTTTTTCCCCAAATTGGAATCGAAAAAAGAATCGATAAAGAATCGAATCGTTTCATAGAATCGAAAAGGGAATCTGAATCGTGAAAATCTTTTCAATTCCCAACCCTATTCATATGTCATGGACGCTATGACTTATGAATAACATAAACTTAATGTATGACAACGATCAGATAATGCGCTACGTAGGGCATACAGTGGCATACGTCGAGAAATTTTGTTTTAAATCGTCAAGGTGTGACAGGGGCTTTAGTATATATGTTAAATCTCCCCAGACCTGTGAAGGCACCTCCTATTCCCTCTGCCCTGGGGGTGTGGTCACAGATTGGGCCTAGAGACTCCTGTCCTGCTGTTGCCATGGTGAATCTCATTATCAGTGCTCCATTGATGCTCGCTCTGAGCTCTGAGTTGATTAGAGGCTGAGGTCAGTTGACTCAGGCCACGCATCGGTTGAAGGATAACCTGATCGTTCAATCAGTTTGATCTTTAGACTCTATGTAATCATGGCTATATATACTTTATTTTCATACAGCTCCTGAAACAAGTCAAAATGTGTTCTGATCTTCCAGACAATATTTGCTCAGTAAATTTTACCGTGTCTCCCCTGCAGCGCCCTTACATCGGATCTCCCAGCAAACGCTGCGTCTCGCCTCAGATCCTTCAGCTGGTTTTTGTCCAGCGGAGCCGCGACACCTCGGGCCTCCAGGCTGCCAGCAGCCGAGGGCGGCGAGGTGTTCCAGCAGCTCCCCTGGCAGTACCAGCAGGTGCGGACCCGCAAAAGAGGCACAGAGTATCAGCCCAAGAACATAAAGCGGAAGAGGACGCACGGCTGGATCAAGAGGCTGAGCTCGAAGGGCGGCATCGAGGTGATCCTTCGCCGAATGCTGAAGGGACGGAAATCCTTGTCTCACTGAAGACTTTGAAATCTGAGGTGCTCAGAATGCAGCAGAGATTGTCTGCTACGTGAAAAACTACGGGAGATCACCGCCGTGCTTCGGAGGGTTGTTCTCCCGACATCATGAGTAGAGATCGTAAACGCCTCCAGCCTCGGATCAGAACGAAGAGATCAAACATCTTATAGTTTCACCTACCTGTCATGAAGTTCTGTTCAGAATCCTCAGATTTATTGTTCGGTTTGAGGATAAAATGTCTAAATAAATATTTTTTTTATTTGCAAAAGAAGATTTTGTTATTCTGTGACATGGTTACAGCTGTTTAAAGGTTTTCTCGTGGAGGAAAATTTGTTTAAGGCAGGGAAAGCTTTTGTAAAATGAAAATTTGAAAAAAAAAATATGGGAAATTAAAATTCAAGAAAAAGTTGAAAGCAGAAATGCAAATTTCAATCAAAAAGGCTTTGAGAGTAACTAATATTTTCTTAAATTTTTGATTTAATTTAATTTTTTTTTTTTTTACTTTCTCAGATTTTCTATTTTTTTTTACACATTCTAATATTTTAAATTTTTAAAATCCTCTTTAGTAACCCAATTTATTATTTATATTCCACCATTTTTTTTTTAATTCTAGTTTACTTTTTGCATTGGTGTATAAAATGAACAGAAATTAACCTTAAAAAAAAAAAATCAACATTTTGCTGCATTTATATAAATGACACCACCATGGTAGCGGGCTCAATTTAAATAAAATACGATTAGAATAATTACATTTTTTTTAAGCTATGTAAACATTAAAATATTGCATTCATAAATATAATTTTAAATTAATTATAGATGTAAACTACATAGTTTAAGTAGTAGTTTAGTCAGGATAGTTTGGATCATAATATAACATATTAAACAAATAATTAAAAAAAAGTAGTAAATATCGTAGCCTTTTTTTTCCAATCCAAAACTTTATTGTAAAGTTCTATTAGAATTAAGATATTACATCCTTTAACTTAAATAAAATAAACAATTAAACAACAACAAAAAAAGGGGGCAAGATGTATTACATTTCTCCAAATATTTCCTGAATTACGTTAACAGTGTGTATACATTTTTTATTGTTGATTCTTTGAGTAAACATCGTAGCCTCAAGTTACGAGTCAAGGCAATAATACGTAATCAGCATTCGGCCAATCATCGCATCGTATTTTAGAGCGTCTTCCTCGTTTAGCCAATTAAATTGCGCCGACATTAAAACGTAACCGCCCCCTGGCTGATAAACAACAAAGATGGAGTTTGGAAGTAGGAGCTACGCAGACACTAATTTGGGAGTGTTAGCTTTGATTTGAGGAGTCTAACTAATACATGAGACGTACTGCAGTGAAATCCCAACTGGTTTATCATCGAAGTTTGACCTGAGAAGATTTCTGAAAGCTAAACAAGTTAGCATCCGAGCTTAGCAGCTAGCTCCTTGACACCCTAACCTCAGCCAAAGCTAGCGGACACGCGAAGACAGACATGGAGAAGGTTGGTTTACCTCAGCTTTATGTGGCTGCTCACAAATAACAGCACAAATTATAAATTTTCTGGGTTGTTCGGGTTTTAGCTAAGCTCATAGTTAACCCTTTAAAGGACAAGTAAGCGTTTTCTTGCATCCCCCTTACAAATGGAGCCCCCCCCCGTCCCTCAGTGAGGTCTAGAAGCACAAGATCTATATCCAGCCATTCAGCAAAGATCCTGCTACATGGCTGCACATCTGATTTTGGCATCTGACCAATTAGATGAACCCTTGAATGACATATTACCCACTGGAAATGAAGCTGAAAAAGCTGATTGAAAAGTTAAAAAGTAAAGTTAATAAGCCTAGTTAAGTTATATTTAGGTTTATAAACTTAAAAAATGTAAGTACCAGGATCAGCATTAATGTACGGAAGAGGATTAGGGCCACTGGGGAAAAGAAAACAATTGATTTTTTAATGTTATTTCAGTTTGGTATGGGAAAAAAAGTCAGAATTCTGACAATAAATAAAGAATTTTGAGAATTTTGAGATTAAAGTCAGAACTTTGAGATTAAAGTCAGAATTCTGAGATTAAAGTCGGTATTCTGAGAAAAAAAAGTCAGAATTCTGAGAAAAAGAAGTCGGAATTCTGAGAAAAAAGTCAGAATTCTGAGAAAAAAGTCAGAATTCTGAGAAAAAGAAGTCGGAATTCTGAGAAAAAAGTCAGAATTCTGAGAAAAAAGTCAGAATTCTGAGCAAAAAGTTGGAATTCTGAGAAAAAAGTTGGAATTCTGAGAAAAAAGTCAGAATTCTGAGATTAAAGTCAGAACTCTGAGAAAAAAAAGTCAGAATTCTGAGAAAAAAGTCAAATTCTGAGAAAAAAAACAGTCAGAATTCTGAGATTAAAGTTAGAATTCTGAGATTAAAGTCAGAATTCTGAGATTAAAGTCAGAACTCTGAGATTAAAGTCAGAACTCTGAGAAAAAAAAGTCAGAATTCTGAGATTAAAGTCAGAATTCTCAGAAAAAAATAGAATTCTGAGATTAAAGTTAGAATTATGAGATTAAAGTCAGAACTCTGGCTTTTTTCCCATACTAAACTGAAATAAAATTAAAAAATCGGTTAACTTTTTTTTTTTTTCCAGTGGCCCTAATCCTCTTCCGTATTAATGCCTCTAAGGTTATGTTAGACCAAAACAATTTTTCTCTCACTCTCAGTGTTTTTTATGAATTTCTTATAGAAGCACTTTTATTTTCTTAATATATTCGGGCAAGTTGGCGTTTCTTGTTATTTCATTGACATTCATTTTTGCTATCAAAATATCCATATTTTTGAATGTTACAAAGGTAACAAGGTCTTGACCTGGATTCCAATTCCACTATTGGCTTGAAATTTACATTTTCAAAGTATTTCACTAAGTGTCCTATAAAGGTTTAACATGAACTAGGTCATCATAACTTGTACCATGAATTATTTTCACTCCTAAACCTTGTTCTTGTTGATCCTGAATTTCTGACAGAGGAACTTCCTGAAGGGGCTGCCTGTCTACAACAAAAACAGCTTCACCAGGTTCCATGCAGACTCTGTCTGTAAAGCATCAGTAAGTGCATTTAACTAAGATTTCTACTGGTGATGGGTCCATAACACCGATGCACAGGAGCCCATAGAGTAAAACACTGCATCGGCGCGTCGTTTCCAGAAAGTCACGTGACCGATACAGGAGATGTTTCTAACTGACTGTGTTTAGAAATGTATCTGTCAAGTTGATGCAGCTGTTAAAAAATTTTTGCATCTTTTGCAGTTTATCATTAAAATTATCAATAATTTTAGAGCAGCCTAAAAGGAATAGGAACGTTCCAGCAGTTGCGTTTTTATTCTAATTTTCTCGTTGTGTCATCCTTTTCCTCTCAGTTATCAATCAACTTATTCTTTATTTACAGTTTTTACTGATATATGTTTACATTACACGACAGAGTATTAGGGCCAGGTTAGAGTTTTTTAATTTTATTTTGAGAATAAAGTTGTAATATTACGAGAATGAAGTCATCAAACTACAAGCCGTTTTAGAAAGAAAGCTTGGAGCTCCGCCCAGAAGATGACGGCCGACCAGCTCCACCAATCAGCAACCAGAGTCCACTTTGACATCTTGCCCAGTTTGATGCTGCTGCTAAAAGATTTCCTGATTTGTCAAACCGATGCTAAAGTAGAACTTCACATGATGCTCCACATTCCTCACTTTAGGGAAGAAAGGGCTTCTTGTTGGAGTTGTCATAAAATACAACTTGTTTCTTGTAATTTTAGGACTTTATTCTCGTAATAGAAGGAAAAAAATCTCTAGCCTGGCCCCAATACTCCATCGTAACATTATTTATTGGCTGCATCTAAAAATATCAGACATTTTCAATTTAAACATAGATATTAATTAATGCAATATAACCTACAATAACACTGAAATAAAACGAGGTTTTTATTCATCCATGTTATACATTGACTTAAAAAAGAAAAAAAAACAGAAATTTTTTTTAATTTTAAAATCTGAATTGTTTTATATTAAGTAGATAATAAGAATTGTTCAGTTTGGTTTATAGATAATTTCCTGATTCCCATATTTTCTCAAACCCCTGAACTGATTGTCATTTTCTTTCATTTTTCTGTCTTAATGTTGGCAGTGGGCTTTAGGCTGCCCTGCAAGGCTTTAAACCTGGGTTTAAATGGAGACTAAGCCATTCTCAAGCACATATCAAGGTGCTCATTTTGAGCCTGGATCCAGATTTATTGTTGATTCTGTTCATGGTGGAGAATCCTGCTTCACAGCAGCAGGTTGAGCCAAACATCCTCTAAATGTGCAGGGTCATCTTTGAGCACGCCATTTCACTTTTCTTTCACCAGTTCACCGCAGTTCTTCCAGCAGTCCACACTTTCTCTGCTCTCTTTTTCTCATGGTCTTCTCCTTCTTTCCCATCGCCCGGCTTGCCACAGGTTTGCCTGCTGTGTCTAAAAGTAGCAGCAGCAGCAACCCAGACTGACAACTCATTGGCTCATTTGGATCACGTGCAGCCTGGAGCCGGACGCT